GCAGATTTTAAGAAATCTGTCTTAAAATTTTGTGTAAAATCCCTTGGGGTTTATTTAATTCAGCAATGTGCACAATTATTTAATTCAGCAATATTTGTCTCTAAAATACAGTATTTCTACCCTAGACATCACTGTGCCTTTGTGCCTGACATTGCCTTTTTTAAGTCGTTTTGAAATTGTGTTCTTAAAAGCAGAAAATAGGAACATTAGAACAGGAGGAGGCCATTCAGGCCCTCTAGCCTGTTCTGCCATTCTATTAGATCATGGCTGAACCCACAAAATGTCCAACTTTGCACCCCCTCACGTGGAATTGCCGTCCCCTAATTATATTTCCCAACCAGTCACCAAGTGATCGATCACAATCGCAATCTAGTATGTAGGAGACTGCATTTGATCACCTTTATTTAATTCAGCAATATTTGTCTCTAAACTAGTTCTGGGTTGCTCTGTGGGATCGATCAGCCATTGGGTGAATAGGTGTCCATCAAGAGGAAATCAGCTTTGACACAGTTCATGATGGGCAACATTTTCTACGGACTCGGTAAGAGATTTAAGGGATGTTTATTTGGAAATATAGGATGTTTGCGTGAAAGATTGCGATAAGATTACAAAAACAAATGTTTGTGCCTCTCTTTGCAGTCGGTCCAAACTACAAATGCTGTAGAGATAAAGCCAATATGATTGAGCCTCGCCTTAAAGGACAATCAACCGTCCGTATCTGTTCACAAGGGATAGGGTTCAATCCGAAGTGCAAAGTCCCTCTGAGCTCGGCAGGCCAGACCAGCACTGGAAGGCCAAGTGCAACTTCCAATACAAGCCAAGGGACAGGGTCAACAGGCACTGGGAGCCTTTCACTGACCACTGTCCAAAGCCCTGGTAATGCCCTTGTGCCACCTGCTAAAAAGCCACGCTTGAGCACCACCAACACCTCTGTGACAACCACCACCAAGAGAGTTTGGGTGACCAGCGCTAAGAGTCCCAGAGTGACCACTGTCGGGACCTCCCTGACCACCACTGTTCAAAACACGTCGACGACCACTATTAACAGCCCCAACGTGGCCTCCACTGGAACTCCTCAAGCCACTATCATCGGGAACTCTAATAGAATAGTCATCGGAAACCCTGTTAAAATTGGTACGACAAATCCAAATAGGAGTGTGGTCCGAAACCCTGACACTGCCTCCGTTAAAAGTGCCAACATAATCAATATCACATACCCTTTCCAGTCTTCTAGTGGAAACCATAAGGCCACAACGGGGAGGTCCAAAACAGTGGCCAAAAGGCGGTTGATATAAACTGAGCCAAATGGCTGACTTCTCTGCTGAAAATACGTGTTCTGTACTTTAATTTTATGTGTGTTGTTTCTTGTGTAACTCAAGAATAAAATGGAGTTCTCATTGTCTGGAATCCCTGGTCTACAGTTTACAGAGTTAGATATATAGTGTGGGTGAGCGGTTGAGGCTTACAGTTGACCTCAGACCCCTGGTAAATTGAGCACAATCATGTAAGGATTATTATTATTATTATACCAGTGCAGTGAATGGCATTTTAGATTGATTCTCCAATTGATTAATAGAGGACAGGCATTACTATTACTGAGCAGCACAGTCATGAAAGTCGATCTCAGTCCAGACATTTGCCAAGACCTTGCTCGACTGTCCAGGGGAAGGCAGCTCAGCAGCGAGCATGTGGCCTCAGATGACAGGATGTGCCGTGCTGTTACAGCAGTAAATGGCTCCTCCTACACCTCGCTTCCTTTATAAATTGCTTTCAGTCTTTAATTTGCCCAGTTATTCTATGTGTAAATCTCCCTCGATTAGATTCAAACCTGAAACTCACTGCTGTGATCAGTTATTCTCTCTCTCTATATATATATATATGTGTATAACCCCCATTCCCCACACCTCTACTGTATGCCCCCACCCCTCCCCATTTAATAATAATAATCCTAGCTTTGGATGTAACGTCGGTGAGGTGTCTCAAAGTGCTTCACAGAATGTATTGTAAAGTGGAGTGACTAGGTGAAACGCGGCAGCCAGTGTAAGGACCAGAACAGACGGCTGGTCCCGTCTCCTGCTCTCACGACCACCGGAAAAGGTTAGATGTGAACGCAATGAAGGGGTTTAGCGGGAGGGAAGAAATCGATGGGCTGAATAACCGGTCCTCGTGAGGCATCGGAGAGAAGCTTAAACGTTCTGCTCGTCAGCAAAGTCCGCAATCCAGTGCACCCGCACCGCGGATACGCGCAGATCTAAGGTGTTGAAATCGTTTTTTAAAAAAAAACCTTATTTGTATAGGGCCCAATCACGTAAAAGAAAAAATAACGACAACAAATTACATTTGTATCGCGCTTTACACGTCGGGAGGACGTCTCGTATCGCTTTTCTCAAATGAGAGCGACTGGAAATGGAGTGAATGTTAGAGAGGCAAAAACGATAGCGATATCCGAAGAGCCACAATGAGCCGAGCGGCCGGTGAGTGAGAACTTTCAGGATGAATTTGAATGAGGAAGGGAAACACAAACCAAGATCACTAAAGTGGGGGACTTCCACTTTGTATTAGCAGAAAAGCCCCCTTCACGGCCACCTAAGTCTTTCAACGGTGAGACCTTGATTAATGACTCACTGAAAAAAAAGAGATGCTAATCTGGAAATAAAATAATTCCCTTGTATTTAACAAAGCCTGTTATGTAGACAAACTCTGGGTTGTAAGGAGCAAACGCACAAGACTGGTTGTGACTGACTGGGAGCCAGAGATATTTCAAGGACCAAGTTGGACAGTACCACGATGGGACAAGCTTAGAGGAAAGAGAGAGAGACAAGCAGGGAGGTGCCAATGAAAACAAAACCGGGGGGGAAAGTTCAACAAAAACATGTACTGATATCTCATGTTAAACATCGTCCCACAGCCATTGTGTAAACAGAATGCACAGTGAGAAGCGCAGACTGGCCAGTTCGCTCCAGTCAGGACCAAAATCTTCTCGTAAAATCGTAGAAGCAAAGAAATGACAGCCCAGAAGGAAGCCATCAATAACCACTGCCATGACGCAGCGCCTTGCACATAAAAGAAGCTTCTCGAAGCTACCCTACGCCATTCAGGAGTGGAATCAGGAGTCTATTTTTCATGCAAAGGGTTGTGGTAATCTGGACCTCTCTTCCCCACCCTCCCTCAAAAGGCTGTGGATTATGTCTGGATCTATTAAAATTTTCAAGACTGAGGTGGATAGATGTTTGTCAGGTTAGGGTATTAAGTGATATGGGGCAAAAGTGGGTAAATGGAGTTGAGGTACCGATCAGCCATGATCTAGTAGAATGGCGGAACAGGATCGAGGGGTTTCATGGCCTCCTCCTGTTCCTATGAAGTACTTTATTTTCACAGAACGAGATTAATTGGAGAATAAGAAGGTAATATGACACATAGCCGAAAGTGGCTGCTGGTTTACGCTCACAAAGTCCCACAAATAATGAGATGAGGAGCCAATTCATTAGAATCTTAGGGGCGCATTTGGATGAAAAAGGAATAATAATAACCCTGGCATTTGATACAGCGCCTTATCACATCTTCGAGACGTCTCAAAGCGCTTCGCAGAATATACCGTAAAGCGTTCGCGAAGTATGTTTCAGATACGTTCTGATTTTACAATTATAAACTCAGCAGTCTCCAGGGAATTGATGAAATCCCCCCCCCCCTTTATATCCCTGTGTTCCTAGATAGTGAGTCACCCATCAACAAAGAAAGAGTTGGCTTGAACGTGGTCTCATTTACGTGCGGCCGGTCCCACCACTCCCAGGATCTGTGCTCAGTTCCTTGCGTCCTTTTCTAGTCATTCGGGCCTCCGACTAACTAATGATACAGCTCTGTCACTGTTAGGCTGTGATTGCAAAATTCCCCTATTGTGTGTGTTTTAAAGGCTTTCTGTGTTTCATAGAGAGTGTCTGTCGTCTCACTCGGACAGTAAATCGTAATGATGAGATAACTGATACTCAGCCATCTATCCTGTGACTCACCCTTCCAGGATTCTGCACATTTACACCCCCCTCCCCACCGCCCCCTCAACCTCCGCCCCCCCCAACCTCCGCACACAGCCTGAAATACAATAAAACACACGTCTGGTACGAGACATTTACATCTCAGCTCCTTGTAGTTGGGTCGAGAAAGGGTAGGATTTTTCATAATATAACATAATAATACTTGCTTTTGATATAGCTCCTTATAATGTCGTCGAGACGTCCCCAAGTGCTTCACGGGATATACATGTAAAGTGGATTGACTGTGCATGCAAAGTCCCACAAACAGCCATGCAGTGAGTGGTCAATTTTTTTAATATCTATTTGGGGAACCTTTGGCCAGGACACCGGGAGAGGAAAAACTCGCTTCTCTTTTTAAATAGTCTCGGAGCGTTTCACAGTGCTGAGCGCGGCGAAGGGTGAGTGACCAGCCTTTAAGGTAGGTTTTATTAATAGTAATAATAATAATCCTGGCGTTTGATACAGCGCCTTATCACGGCGCTGAGACGTCTCAAAGAGCTTCACAGGATACGCTGTAAAGTGAATTGACTGTATTTTATATATACACTTTTTTTCTATGTACAGTACATTATATATATGTAATAGATGTATATACGGTGGTTCATTATTGGAGCAACTTTAAGTCCAGAGAGAGAAAAATATAATAATAATCCTGGCATTTGATACAGCGCCTGATCACGTTTTCGAGACGTCTCAAAACGCTTCAGAGGATACACTGTAAAGGGAATTGACTGTATTTTGTGGGCGGAACGTCGGTACATATATATATATATATTATTATTAGGTATTGCATATTTTAGATAAATATATATAAGTATATACATATTATACTATAGTACATATACATATATATATATATATGTACACATGCTTCATTATTATCAGAGAGATGGAGAGGTATTCTCTGGAGGGCACCTCAGACAGTCTACAGCTCTGTGTGTGTGTGTGTGTGTGTGTGACAGCTCTTAGTTCCTGGAGACTGACAGAGAAAGAAAGAGAAAGGGAGAGCGAAGAATTATTCCGGGACACGGAACAAGTAGGATTTCCCAGGTCCAGGAACCCCAGGACATCGTGTTATTTGGGGAGAGGATAGGGGTGTGTGTGGGGTGGGGTGGGGGGGAGGGGGGGGAGGGGGCTGAACCCTCTTCCCCCTTTAAGGGGCGTAAAAAGAGCAAGTGGGGGGTTGGGGGGTGGCATTTGCTTTGTGGGTTTGTTTTGAAACCTTTTTGTTAACTGATCACACCCGGGGTTTGGTGGAAGGTTGGGTCAGAGAGATTTCCTGCGCCAAACCCAATCCTTTTCCTTCCACTCCCTCCCTCCCTCCTCCTCCCTCCCTCTCCCTCCCTCCCTCTCCCTCTCCCTCTCTCTGGGATCTGATTCCCACACCTACAAGACGACAGGAGAATAACGACAGAGGCGGACTGTGTGTGTGTGTGACATTCACACCAGGGGAGAAAAAAGGAGAGAGAAGAGAAGGGACAGAGAGAGAGAGAGAGAGAGCAAAGCATTGGCCAAAAAAAAGACTTTGAAAATAACAAACAGCTCTGACATACAATGCAGAGAGGAAATGCTGTCACACACACACACACTCTCTCTCTCTCTCTCTGTACAATTTCCTAGATCTGTTTTAACCATTGCCACAGCCTTGTTGTGAACAATTTAATCCCTTTTCCTCCCCCCCTCTCCCCCCCTCTCTCTCTACATACAGTATAAATAGTATGAACATTGTGGATTCTGAAATCGAGAGGACTCAGTGGTTGGGGTGAGTTTTACTTGGTATATTTTTATGTTTTCCTTGTGTGTGTGTGTGTGTGTGTGTGTTTTCTTGCAAACCCTTAATATTCTGGGTTTGGGTTTGGGTTTGGGTTTGTCCCTGGGGGGGGATCTGACTGATTGCTTCTGCTGCTTAAACCAAACAACTGGTTATATAATCAGGGGAGGACTTGCAAGGGAGAGACAGAGAGAAAGCAGACAGACAGACAGACAGACCGACAGAGAGAGATTTCCGGGTCTGCTTGTCAGACCATCAACTTACAGGGCAATGTTTTTGCTAAATGATTATTTGGCGGAAAAACGTAACACAAAACAACCCGTTTGTTGGTTTCGTGTCCAGTTTGGCAGTGAACCCAGAATTCCCAGTGTTACTGTGTGTGCGGACAACTAACAGAGATTCATGGATGGGGGGGAAGTGTGTTTTTGTTGTACTAAATAAACAGGGAAGTGTTTGTGATTTATTTTATAGATACTTAGCGATATAATAATAATAATAATAATAATCGTTGCATTTGTCACAGCGCCTTATCACGTCTTCGAGACGTCTCAAAGCTCTTCAGAGAATATACTGTAAAGTGAATCGACTGTATATTTTGTGGGTGAAACACAGCACCTCCCTTTCTATCTCCGTCTGTCACCAGGCCTTGTTCGTGCCTGTAGGAAACTACAGAGAAAAACACAAAACAACTGCTTTTCTTTTAGTTTCCTGTAACCATCGCAGCCTTTAACTTTTTTTTAAAATACAAGTATATAATTTTTTTATTTAAAAAAGGAGAGGGCAGGAGCTTGTGTTTTTTGCCTCTGGAAAATGAATTGATTACGATTAAAGTTTCCTGTTATTGGGGGCGAAACTGAACAGAAAGGGGGGCAGAGGGGTAAGTATTTACATTATTGGGGGATTATGATTGTGGTGGGGGTGGGGAGGACCTTGGGTAGTCCTCCCAACGTAAAAAGCGCTATCCAAATGTAATTTGTTTTGTTGTGAAGACTTCTGCTGTCTCTACTGTTGAATCAGGGGACAAACACCCTTAATAACCCATTATATAGGGAATAACAGAGCCTGGGTGGAACCAATAACAGCAGATTGATTGATTATCGCCCAGGGGATCTGCACTCTATCTTGACTGACACAGCAATCTTTCTCAAGGGTTTATTTCCAATCGTAAAATCTAAAGGTGATTGCTGGTGTGTGTGTGTGTATGTATATGTGTGTGATGTGTATATCTGTGTGCATTTGTGTGTGTATATATATATATGTGTGGTGTATATATATATATGTGTGTGTGTGTATATATGTGTGTATGTGTGTGTATATGTGTGTGGTGTGAATATGTGTTTGTATATGTGTGTGTGTATATATGTGTGTGTATATATGTGTGTATATGTGTGTGGTGTGTATATGTGTGTGTAAATGCGTGTGTGTGTGTAAAACAAAATAGGGTTATTTTATTCCCGTTAGCGAGGAAACACAATCGGAAAGCTCTCACTCTCTCCCATCCTCCACTGCAGATTAAACGTGAAACCCCATCAATGGAGACTGAAGTGACATAGATTGATTATTTTAGTTTTTTTAAATCGTGTAAAAAATACATAAACAGAACGGAGGAAAGAAACCTCTCAGTCCTTTCGCTGTCAATGATTTTGCTGGATGGTGAGGGAAGATAATTATCACATCATACGCCTGATCTCAACCCCTTGCCCACCCCCGCCTGCATTTCAATGAGTCAGAGAACAATAAGGGAAAGTAGGATTAATATTAATCCACTGAGATTTTTAGGGATGGGGGATGTGGAGAGCTGTGTTGTCAGAGACTTTGGCTGAGACTTTAAGATACGGTTTCTTTCTGTCTGTGGGTGGACAGACAAGATCCTGGGGCGCTATTGGAAAGGAGAAGAGAGTTACTCCAACAATAAACTCTCTCCCAGTACTGGACTGTACTGGGGCATCATTCTACGTCAAGGAGCTCAAAGCCCCCCCGCCGCCATAAGTGTAGAGAGCTCCAGTGGGGGAGCGAGCCCCAGCACAGACACCATGGGGAGAGAAAGAGAGAGCAGGGAATGGGGTTGGAGTAGAGAGCTCCAGTGGGGGAGTGAGCCCCATGGGCCAAATGGCCTTCTGTGCATAATAACCATTCTTTGATTCCAAAATGGAACAGCACTCTCATAAAACTGTCAGGGAATGGAGTGGAAACGCAGCAACTTCAATGATTACCGGCAGATGTGGAGACCTCAGCAACAGCAACAACAAATTACATTTACACGGCTCCTTTCACATCTGGAGGACGTCCCAAGGCGCTTGGACGGTCAAGGATTTGGACCCCAAACAGGGGGCTGGGTCAGGAGGGGTGGAGGGGCGGAGAGGAATAGGGGTAGGAACGAGTTGTCGAACGCACGTTCGAAATGGAGGGTCTTGAGACGTGCTTTGAAGGTGAATAAGATGGTTTCCTGTCAGTTATTGGGAACTGAGGCCTGTCGCTGCAAGTTTTCTTCCTCCTTCCCTCCCTCCTTCCCTCATCAGCGCTCTGGCCCTGTGCCCGTCCCAAAGCCAGTCTCTACAAGTTCTATTTACTTCGTCTCATGTTTCGGGTGTGCTTGAGCAAGATACTAGCTTGTCAACTCTCTCCGTGCACACACTGGGCTCACGCGCAGGCAGTCCTGTCTCCAGGGTTATAGGTGTCTCCTGTGCCTCGGGTTTTGGAGAGGAGTAAGCCAGCGAGAGAGAGAAAGAGAGAGAAAGAGAAAATGACTTCCCTCTCTCTGCCCGTGGTCATTTAACACTATTTACTCTCCCTGGCACCCACCCGTGGCAGCCCGGCTTAGTGGGTAACAACACCAACAACTTGCATTTACGTAGTGCCCCTCAGGCAGGGTAGCGTCCCAGAGCGGCTCAAAGCAGGTGATGGGTTCGAGCCCCAGATCAGAATCCCAACTCAAGGATGCTGGATCCATTCGCATTGTCCCGACCGAGGGTATCATCGGATATGGGGGCAAAGGGGGGTAATTGGAGTTGAGGAAACAGATCAGCCATGATCTTATGGCATGGTGGTACAGGCTCAAGGGGCTGAATGGCCTCCTCCTGTTCCTACGTTCCTTGCAGTATTTTGCGAGATGCTGCTTTGTCGAGAGTGCCGTCCTTCAGGTGTAATGTTAGACAGACACCTGTTCCGGTGGACGCTAAAGATCTCACAACACCGTTTCTCCCAATACTGTAATAATAATAATTCTTCAACTGAGTCTCAAATTCCGGGTCATTCGCTTCACAGCTGTTTGCGGGGACGTCGATTGCCTGCCGCGTTCGCCCGCAAAACACACTTTACGGTAAACCCCGCGCAGCGCGTTTTGACACAGTTTCAAGATTTGAATTTTTAAGTTTTTTTTTAAAAAAAAAGTCGCCTCTGAGACCGGATAGAATCTGGGACCGAGTGGGGATACTCAGAGAATTTTCAGCTTCACGGCAGCTCAGTTGTTTTGCTCTTCCTATATTTAACTTGTAGCCGTGTTTACTGCAAGGTTACCAACGCGAGAGCCATCCCACGGGTCTCCTCGTCTCTGCCCTCAGGGAAACAGTCAGACTGGGAGTCTAGTTGTTTTTTCGCGAGGTTGAGAAAAGGGAGGGGTGGGGGGGTGGGCGGGGGTTGGGGCAGAAGGTGGGGGAGGGAAGGCGTGCAAAATTGCTTGAAGACTACAAGATGTCACTAAATTCCACGGGCAGAGAGAGGAGATTCGAGGCACCAGCTGCCAACCTGTCAATGCTCTGCCTCGTTCAGGTTCCGTAAGGTTCTCTCGAGTAGTTGGAAAGAGTTGTCGGTGCGTCAGCACCGCTCGAAACGCCAGGGTCAGAGACGAGGAGCGGAGTGTGCGAGAACAGTCTCACACTCCAGACTGACGCTCCAAGGCCGTGTGGGGGGTGTGGGGGGTGCGGGGTGGGGGGGGGGGAGGTGAGTGTAATGATAATAAGAATTTGGTCACTCACTTCACGACTGTTTGTGGGACACTTTTGCGCGCAATTGGCTGCCGCGTTTCGCCCACAAAATACGGCAGTGAATTCCGTGAAACGCTTTGAGACGTCTCGAAGGCGTGACACGGCGTTGTACCGAACGCCGGGATTATTGTTCTTGTTATAGTGCTGTGTGCACGTTGGCTGAATCATTTGCCTGCAAAAGAGAGTCGCCGCATTTACACCTGAAGCACTTTGAGACGTTGTGACGTGACAAGGCGCTATACGTAAAAAAAAAGTTCTTCCTCTCCCTGCCTTCCCTGGCCGATCCCAGCTGGAAAAATTAAAATTGGGAAATGTGCAAACTGTACTGAGGAGAGTCCGGGGATTTCAGCCAATGATTGAAGCCAGATTTTTTTTTTCGAAGGACTTACATTTATTTTTGTTTTGTGAACGACTTCCAAGAGTTTTCCTCGCACGGAGGGAGAGAGAAAGAAAGTGGGAGAGAGAGAGAGAGAGAAACATAGGAGTAGGTGTAAGCCATTCAGCCCCTCGAGCCAGTTCTGCCAATCCATACGATCATGGGCTGATGATCAGCTTAACTCCAATCACCCGCCCGTGGCACCCGGACCTAACAAAAAGAGGGAGGCAGAGGGAGAGAGAGCGGCAGAGATGTCAAGCACAGAGAGAGAAACAGAAAGAGAGGCAGCGAGAGAGAGAGAGAGACAGCGAGCAAGAGACACAAAGACAGAAAAACAGATTGCAATACAGAGAGAGAATCTCAGAGAGAGAGAGAGAGAGAAAAACACCACACACGCAGTACGAGAGAGAGAGAGAGAGACACAGAGAGAGGCCTCAAGCGAGGGTGAGGTGTGAATCAATTACACAGTGGAATCTGGGGACATTTATATAGAACCCAAACAGACCGATTCCTACACGATGTTCGCGCTTAATCCCATTTTCACACAATCCTTTCGCAGGGAGATTTGGTGTGCAATGGGAATTAGTGGCATTTGCTGTCCTGACTTGAAATTATAAATGGATTTTCCTTTTGCCTCTGTCTCATCCCACAAGCATTTAACTCTCTCCCCGCTGCATGTCTTGTACAGCTCTCCCAGATTGTGATTTATGCCAATCTCTTTGCACTGGTAATAATCGGTCCTTGCGCTTGGTAGAGGGCTTTCACGTTGGGAGGACGTCTCATGGCTCGTTTGTGGGACGTTGCTGTGCACAATTGTGCTGCCGTGTTTGTCTACAAATACACAGTCACTCCATTTCACAGTAAATCCTGTGAGATTCATTTTGAGACTTCCTTCTGAAGTGATAAGGCGCTTTACCAAATGAGTTGGGGTTGGGTTGAGTTGAGTTGGGAAGGGTTGAGGTTGGGATGAGTTGGAGTTGGGTTGTCATGAGTTAGGTTGGGGGCTGTGTTGAGTTGGGGTTGAGTTGGGAGTAACCGGATCTTGTGCCCTCGGCAGGTGGCAGTGCCGACCATGGACAGTGCCATCACCCTGTGGCAGTTTCTGCTGCAGCTCCTGGTGGAGCCCAAGAACAAGTATCTGATCTGCTGGACATCCAGTGACGGGGAGTTCAAGCTGTTGAAAGCCGAGGAGGTGGCCAGGCTGTGGGGCGTCCGCAAAAACAAGCCCAACATGAACTACGATAAACTCAGCCGGGCTCTGCGATACTACTACGACAAGGTACGTCCTGCCTTTGTCTGTGACTCGGACCTTTTTGTGGAGGGGTGGGGGTGGTGGTGAAGGCGGTGTGTGGGAGGGGTGGTGGGGTTGGGGGTTAGGTATGTGGGGGGGAATGACTGGTTGGAGTTGAGCTGGTTTCAGACGGGGGGTGGGAGTGGGTGGTGACTCCAGTTTAATGGGAACTCATGAGCTTATGTTTGTTATTCAGAGTTTGACACTGGGTTAGACATTGGCTTCAGGGATTTTCAGGCGAGTTATTAGGCGCCTTTTTATAACTTCTCTCTGCATGTTCTCCGCATGTTACCCACGTGCTATTTGTCCGGTATCCACCACCTAATGTTTGCATGAATTTTAAATTTCAAGCCGAGATGGTCTGAAGGCTAGGACCATGTGGAATTACAGGCCTGTGCTGCGTCAAGTAAACAAGATGTGAAGATGTGATTGGAACTGATGTCCTTGAGCGCTGTTTCCTTATCGCTAACCTCCCCCCCAACTCCCTTTTTTAATTTTCGTTCTTCGTCCACAGAACATCATTAAAAAAGTCAACGGGCAGAAGTTTGTGTATAAGTTTGTATCCTACCCGGACATATTAAATATGGATCCAAACGTGGTGGGCAGGACTGAGGGTGGGGGTGAGAGTGCGTCGCTGGAGATGGGCAGAACGCAGAAGGACAAAGAGAACCACAGTCAGGAGAGGCTGGTCACGAGCTCCGTCAAGGTCTCCAGCCGCAATGACTACATCCGCTCGGGTCTGTACTCCTCCTTCACCCTCAACTCCCTGCAGGCCAACCCCAACATCTTCAAGTCCGTCAAGACCGAGAGCCTGGCCGACAAACCGCCCGAGAAGAAACCGGCTCAGGAGCCCGTCACCGTCATCAAGTTCGTGCCCAACCCGTCGCGGAAATTTCCGCCCTCGATCTCTCTGGTAGAGCTGCCCTCCGTGCCCCCGCCTCCAGCCTCGCCAAAGCCAATGCCAAACGAAGAACCTTCTTCGCCCGTGTCCGCGTCCGACCTGGCCAGCTCTTGCGCCAGCACCCTGACTCTGGCCTCCAGCCCGCCCGCCATGCCTCTCCTCTCCAGATCCAACTCGTTCATCTCAGCCTCGTCCCTGGAGCTGCTGCCCGAGAGCCTCCCCATTGGCTCGGAGCTGGAGAGCAGCCCCTCTCCCCACGGCCTCGACCCCACCTCCGACTCCAGTGACTCCAGTGAGAGGCCGGAGGGGGGCAGGAGTCACAAGGCCCGGTCAAAGAAGCCCAAAGGATTGGAGATTACCCCAGCATTGGTGATTACCAACAGTGACCCCAGCCCCTTAGCCTTGTGCAGTCCTTCTCTCCCAACATCGTCTCTCACTCCCGCCTACTTGACTCAGGTCAGTGAGCACACGTGCGCTCTATAACTTGCTCTGATAAAGTGTTTCTTCACGCGGGGTATGGAGTCTCAGAGCGCTTAACCGCGGTGGAGCCTTAAGCCAAGCCGGGGGGAGAGGGGTGCGGGAGGAGGGGGGGATGGGGGGAACGAGGTGACTGTAAGCGCGGTGCAGTCAGCCAACTTCTCATAATAATATAGAATAATAATCCTTGCATTGGATACAGCGCCTTATCACGTCTTCGAGACGTCTCAAAGCGCTTCTCGGGATACGCTGCAAAATGTAGTGACTGTATATTTTGCGGGCGCACCGCGGCAGCCAATTGAGCACGGCGACGTCCCCGCAAACCGCGGTGGTGGATTGAGCGAGTGCCCGGCACGAAACCAACACACCTCTCCCCAACGCGCACCACCAAAATAGAGGCCGACAGATTTGTTATCGCTCCGCTCACCAACCTCCGGCTCTGCGCCGGTTGACTGACTCCGTTGCTCACGGCGGTGGAATTCGGCGGCAAAGTGACCACTCCGAAGAGATTTAGGGCCTTAACCAGACTGTCGCGGTCACTTTCCCATTGGCGAACGGAGGTGGGGCACGTGGCAGTGTGTTGTACACCCACCGTCACAACAGATGGCGCTGCTGAGCCTCTCACCGGTGACCTGCAGTGAAGGTCCTCTGATCTCAGAATCCATGTCTCGTGAACAACGATCATTCTCTCCTCACCCCTCCCGCCCGGGCGTCTCGAGTCTCCTCAGCCCCCCCCCCCCCCCGCCCGGGCGTCTCGAGTCTCCTCAGCCCCCCCCCCCCCCCCGCCCGGGTGTCTCGAGTCTCCTCAGACCCCCCCCCCCCCCCGCCAGGCGTCTCGAGTCTCCTCACCCCCCCCGCCCAGGCGTCTCGAGTCTCCTCAGCCCCCCCCCGTCCAGGCGTCTCGAGTCTCCTCACCCCTCCCGCCTGGGCGTCTCGAGTCTCCTCAGCCCCCTCCCCGTCCAGGCGTCTCAAGTCTCCTCACGGGATTCGACTACAAACTAACCCCACAGCCAGTCACATTTACGCAGCGCCTTTCGTGTCGGGAGGACCGTCCCGAGGCCCTGAACGACAATGGGGACGACGACGACCGCGACAACTTGCACTCACGTCGATTCGCCGTAAAGCCCGGCGACGGGGTCTTACGTAGTGCCACGCGGCAGCCAATTTGCATGCAGCCACTTCCCATGCGAGAACCGGTCGCCAAACACCCCCACCTGCAAAACACACGGTCACCACACTCGACAGTAAACCCTGTGAGGTGCTTTGAGACGTGCGTCCTCCTGACGTGAAAGGCGTTGTATCAAACACAATGATTATTATCATCATCATTATTATAATTAAAACTGCGATGTTTGATAACGGACTTGACGTGAGAGGCGTTGGTTGTACTGTTGGCTCCTGTATCGTATTGTAATGATATTTGGACTTTATTGGCCTGATGTCTGCTCTTTCAGACCCCGATCCTGCTCACTCCCAGCCCGTTACTGTCCAGCATCCATTTCTGGAGCACCCTGAGTCCTGTAGCCACCCTCAGCCCAGCGAGAATGCCGGGAACCAACACTTTATTTCAGGTTCGTTTACTTTCTGGTTTAATCCCAAAGCAATACACAATACACACACACACGTGTATATCCACATATCCATGCTTACAAAGTGTACGCACACACGTACACAACATACACAACACTCAAATAGACACACACACAACATCTTTCATACCCACACGTTCATTCACACACACACACACACACACACACACACGACACGCACTAATACACGCACGCATGAACGTGCAGACACAAGTGCACACAAGAGCACATCAACCCGAGGCCTGTATGTTTTCAGTGTTCAATGGACGAGCCCTGTGTGAGAGGAATGTGCTGTGTGGGTTGATTAGATAAGCTCGGACTCTTTACACCTGGGGTGTGAAGAGCAATTTCAGACCAAACACCAGGAAGTATTTCTTTCGATTGAGAATAAACAACAGCTGTAGCGGGTTACCGGGTGGAGGGGTGGGGACGAGGACAGGATGTGGGGTGGTGGGGGTATGTGCCTGAGACAAAGATGGGGTGTGGGGAGTAATGGGGACTAGGCGAAGCGTGAGGGAGAAAATGGGAAGAAAAGTTTGTTTACTAAAATTGACATTTTAAATGTTTTTTTTNCCTTTTCTTTTCTCTTTAGTTCCCCAACATCAACAGCCACATGCAGCTGCCGTTGTCAAACCTGGACGGCTCCTCCACTCCCACCCCCCTGTCCCCAGACCTGCAGAGGGCTTGAGGAGAGAGCTGACTGGTCAGTGAGTAACCAGGGGTTGGGCCAACAAGGACTAAGGACTGTGGCTGGAAACCTGCCCCTGGAGGCCAATAGCAGGAGCGACGTCATGGAATGTAAGATGCCATCGTGAATGGTGTTGATTGTCACCGCCTGTTGATGTCAGTCAATCGTGGCCGCCTGTACCACCAACACCCCAACAACGATTGGCTCAGATTTTTTGATATGAACCTGCTGTTTCCTTTCTCTTCGGACTCAACTCCCCCCAAACCCCACCTCACTGGCATCGCCAAGTTGGAGAGGAGGCTCCAGGGGGCAATGCATGCGAAAGGACAGGCTTTTTTTGAGGGGGGAGGGGGAACATTTTTAACGGGGTTCAGCGTCTCAAATCGCAGGACTCTGTCCACTCTCGTTATTTTTGTGGATTTCTTTTTTACTACTTTTGACCTGCGCTGCACCGTGTGTGGGTTTGTGAATCTGTCGTCGCAAAGATATCACAAGGAATGCTTGAGGAAAGACCAGGGGAATGGGACGAGTTGGTAGCTTCTTCAAAGAGCCCGCACAGGTACGGTGGGCCGAATGGCCTCCTTTGCTGTAGGAATCTATGACTGACTCACTCATACCGCCTTACCCAGCCTTGCCTCGCCTCGCTCAACGGGCAACGAACTCTCAGTCTCGGTGGCTTTTTGGGGATCAATGGAAACCACAAGAGATGTTCATATCAATCCCAGTAACTCCGGCTCCCAGATACCTCCGGCCTATTCCCAGGAAACTAGTTTGGGAATAGTATTTTTTTACACACACGGGAAATGTGAAAAAGACATCAAGTGATGGAGACAAGGTGACGTCCTTCCTGTGAGATGGGGTCACAGGTGGAAACTTTATAGGAACCCGGGAGCAAAAATGCTTTGGGTTAATTTAATTTAAGGTGGTGGTGAGGTATGTGTGGGGGATGGGGACGGGGGGATTTAAATAGGACCCTCATCTGCTGGTTGGAGATGTAGAAAGAGCAGCTGATGACAGTGAGGTTGGGGGACATGTTATCTCAAGCGAATGTTATCTCTGTGGTGTTCAGGGGAGGGGGGATTGGGTTTGAAAAGCCTTAAAAGTTTATTGTCATTTTTTTATGTCCATTCCTCAAAAGTGCCCTTCGATGTCTCTGTTGGGTGAGCAGATATTGGAAGTGGAACCAAATAGGGCTGATTGATTACCAATTAACCTCCAGTTTAACTAACGATCTTTTCTTTTGCTGATGAGGTACCGAAGCAGTGGGCAGTGGTGATAGGAATCGATGCTTTATATCTGCGATTGATCGGTCGGTTGGCGATGCGTGGAGTTGAATGTGTGGGAGCTGTGTGTGTTTCGGGGGGAGGGAGAGGGCAGGCATAACTCCTCCTGGTTATTAAAGGGATTATATTTCGTATCTTTGTCAAAGAGCAGAGTTTAGGGTTTGGGGTTAGAGTTCCGGACAGGCCTTTCAGATCAGTGGCTGAGATGTGGGTTGAAATCTCGCCTCATTGACTCTTTACTTGATCTCAGGTGCTGCTCGATTCTGACACCGTGAGTTAAAAAGTGGGAATGTGTTTCACTCCCCAATATTAACAACCTTCACCTCCATGAACCTCCAAAACAACACTTCTCGCTCCCCCACCCTTCCCACCCCCCCCCCCCTCCGCCAACAAAACAGTGAAACCTTCAAACCTTAGATGTATGTCCTCCAACTCTGCCTTTCCGTGCTCCCTGCACACTCCAACACAAACAAACAGACACACACACACACAAAACACACACACACTCACTCAAAACACAAACACACACACTCAAAACACAAACACACACACACACACTCAAAACACAAACACACACACTCAAAACACAAACCCACACATACTCAAAACACAGACTCAAAACACAAACACACATTCAACACACACACACTCAAAACACACACAATCACAAACACACACAAATGAACACACACATACACACTCAAATGAGCAAACACAAACGAACACCACAAAACAAACACCCACACTCAAACAAGCATATCAAATGCAAGGATTATTATTATTATTATTATGAAGCTCACACACACACACCAGAGTCAGAGCTGGACACAGTACTCGGGGGTGGCCTAAACGAAGGAACATCTAGTTGTAAGTTTGTCTCCTTTAGTTTTCTCTTCCTCTGGCCCATCAGGGCGGAACATCAGGGGGAGAGGAGAAACAGAACCGAGAAACGTTGGTGAGCAGAAACGAAGGCTGAGTTTCAGAACCGATGAGTTTCACACGCTCCAAAGTTGAGACAATGGTCTCATAAAAGCTGAGGAATTTCAGGGAGCTGATGTGGTGGGTGAGCAGAGTGAGCAGCGTTGACTCATGCCTTGTGTGTGTGTAAAAATAGCTCTGGAGTGGGAAGAGAGAGAGAAGAAACTCTTGCTTCGTACGCCCACTCCCTCTTGCTTTGCTGACGTCCATCTCCAAAAGGATTAGTCTTGGCTAACGTCACCTGAAAGGTCACTTAACAAAGCTCGGTGATGCACGCAGGCGGGAAAATACCACACGTGTTGTGATACAAGATCGCTTTGGTGGGGGGAAGAAGGCTCTTCAGCTCATCTGATGGCCTCCTTGCAGAACACCCACCCTCTTATTCCTCCCAGCGCAGCACCGAGCTGTTGTTTAAATGAGTCCCACTATCTCGGCCTCAACCACCTTTCCTGGGAATGGGTTCCAGTCGTTAATTACCCTCCGGGTAAAGAAATACTTCCTGGCGTCTGTCCTGAAGTTGCCCCTTTGCAACTCTAAACCCGGGTCCTCTTGTTCCACTGTTTTGGATGTGACCTGAAGTATTATTCTGGTTTACTTTACTGGGTTTGCCTACGTGGATAGGAGTCGGCCTGGGCTTTACCCGTCTGGGTCAAACTGACGTGGGTTCAAGTCCCTCGTAGGGCGTTTGAGCTCACAGTCTAGGCTGACGCTCCAGTGCGACGCTGAGTGGGGTAAGGGGGTGGGTGGGGGGTGCATTGTCGTTGGTGCCGTCCTCGAGATGTGTTCAGCCTGTGCGGGTGTCTGTCAGAGTCTGACCCTGAGCTCATTTGTGGCGTATGTTTTAACCAGCGACTTCCCAAAGACAAGCCAGCCACTGAGCTACACGTTCTGTCTTGACTGCTGACGTTTCTGTGCATGTTGAAGGTACGTTCCCTTACGCTCCGGGTTGTAAATCCTGAACTGCTCGACTCATCTCTGTGCTGTGGTGACCGGGGCAAGGTGTCGGAGTCATAGAGATGATTTAAAGAAAAGATTGCAAAAAAAACAATAGATATATTTTCTGAAATTATATTGGGAGCCCAACCACAGGGGGCAACAGTACTGTACGGTTTGGCAAATATGTGTAGACAATCAGAGGAAGTGGCTATTTTCTTGTACGTTTGAATTAAAAATCGATATCTCTCTATATATGTAAACTGCAATGTGGAAAATGTTTATTCCCTTGTGTTTTCAGCTGCTCATCCAAAGAGACGTTTAAAAGAGCAGGGAATGGGATTAGACTGGAGAGCTCCAGTGGGGGAGCGAGCACCAGCACAGACACGATGGAGGGAGAGCAGGGAATGGGATGAGAGTAAAAAGGGCATTCCACGTCCTAGTGACCCTTTATAGGTAAAAAAAACCCTCTTCTAATCTCCTCCGCCTCCAACACAGCCATGGAGTGTTATGTTTTTAAGACCGACAATGAAAAATAGTTTGAAAATATTTAATACGGGAACAAAAAAAGGACATGAAACACAGTACAACAAGCGTAAATTAAATAGAATTTATCTCGCAATTAATGTACAATATATTTTCCTGGTGAGTTTAAGTTTAATCAGTCTGTCACCTCATCGTCTACTGATCGAAAACAGCTTCTTAAAAACAAGAAATTTTCCTCTTAAATAACAAAACCGTAGCATGAAGCATCTGATATTCAGTCTAGCTAGCAACACCGAATCAACAACAACAACTTGCATTTACACGGCGCCCTTCACGTGGGGTAGCGTCGCGGAGCGCTCGACAGTGGCGAAGTCTGACCCCGAGCCAGGGGGGGAGAGGGAGAGAGGGGGGAGGTGACCGGGAGCACGATCAGAAAGGAAGGTCTTTAGACGGGATCCGAATGTGGTGAGGGAAGGAGGGAGGGAGGGAAGGAGGGAGGGGGCATGAGGGAGGGATTGAGGGAGAGCACTCCAGAGTTAACTCACAGGTTTCTGCGTGATGTATGGGCTTCGGAGCAGAATCTACTCCAAACAGGACCCTGTTATCTTGGACAGAGGCAGGGTCAGACATCGCCAAGGGTACGAGCCAGGTACGACCTTCCTACACAACTATGTGCTAATAATAATAACTATAATAACAATCCTTGCATTTGATACAGCGCCTTATCATGAGACGTCTCAAAAGCGCTTCACAGAACATACCGTAAAGTGACTGTATATTTTGTGGGCGAAACGTGGCAGCCAATTGCGCCCAACAACGTCACCCACAAACAGTCGTGGATTGAGTGGCCAAATTATTATTATTTTTTTTTTGAAGGGATTATTGCTCCTGGAAAAGTGATCCGCCAATCGACTAACAGCCGGATACGTACTTATTGCTGGGTAAACAGAGGTGTGTGTGGAATAAACAGAGGCGTGCTAACCACTATGCTACAGGACTCCACACAGTTCCCTTCCCCTCCCCCTGTCGGTTGGCTGCTGGTCTCCCCCCACCACCCCCTCCCACGTGGCGGGCAGTGACTCTGGGCTGCGGCTGAATGTTTCCCTGTGTGCGAGTCTTTGGCTGGTCACCCTCTGGACCTCATCTCTGGTACGTAGCTCTCACCTCGGGAATCAGCACTCGTTTCGAAATCGCTTTGACAAAAGGAAAAGGAAAAATACTTTTTTAAAAGAAACATTCAGACTCATATTTATATATATATATATTATATATACACACACAGTACAAACATTGCTCCTCAGGCTTGCGTACCAGGTTGTGAAATTCCTTCTAGAGTTCCCTCCCTCCCACAGACGTGCATTACCTGTCAGACTGAAATGAATATGTAATCTGTGCACCAGCAACAGCAGTAGATAAAACACGAGAGCGAGACAACCAAAGACCAGCCCACACAGGAGGAAAACATTACTCGGGTGAGAGTAAATAACCTGCGGAGAATGAAGGCACCAGATGTGGTATTAACATCAACAACAACAACAAATGGCATTTACACGGTGCCGTCCCAAGGGATTCGGACTGTAATGTGGAGTGGCTCTATTTTGTTGGCGAAAAGGAGCAGCCGATTACACGCAGCAGTGTCCCCACAAACGGTCGTGGATTGAGTGAGCAATTCATTATTATATTTTTGAAGGAATTCTTATTATTTATTATTGTTATTATAAGGAAAGCCATTGAATCAACGGTAAACTCACAGATCCCACCAGAGTCTGCAATGCCATCTCCCCAATGCAAGCCCCTGTTACCAGTACTGTCGTAGCGCAACCTTGACAGAGAGGAGAGAAAGGGAACTATTTAGACGGAACCAAAGTCAGATTGACAGCTCAGACCAGACCATGACAACAACAACAAATAACATTTACACACATCAGTAGGACACTGGGGGCAGGGAAGTCATTCCACTCATGTTACCCTGCAAGCCAAAGCCCCTAACGGGTAGGGTGGTCCTAGCTGGACCAGTGGTAGGAAAGTTTGCCGGACAGCGATATCCATGGCAAGCCATGCAGTTTTAACTGGTTAGACTCAGAGCTGAAGCTCATGGAGGGGACTAAATGGAGGGAGTGAGTCACTTATTACCACACTGTAAAATCCTCGACAAACGGGAGAATTCAACGATGATTTATGAAAGATGGAGAGTAAACATGACATCAAAGCAGGGAGGAACTCACAAGGTGAACAGCATCACAAGATCCAGCCAAAGGTTACACATGAACCTTGCCCTTTGCTACCTTTTGCGAGAATTCATCGGGGCCAGGGAACTGCGCGAGGCAACAGGTCGCAGAGGTAGGGAGGAGCGAGGCCGTGGAGGGCTTTGAAAGTGAGGATAAACGAACATTACCTTTGTAATTTAAAACGTCCTCAGTGTAAGCCAACATACTGGGGAAGGTGCTGCTCAGGAAAAAGCCCAAGAGCCCAGTGCCCACAAACAGACAGACCCAATTGGTGGCAAAACACAACATCAGAATAAAGGTCCCAATGATACCGCCCTGAAAGACAGGAAAGGAATGAGACCACAACAACAACAACAACAAAAAATAATGGCAGTTGCACCGCACCTTTCATGTCGGGCTGACATGAAGGACAACACTGGACACGCTGGACAAACGGTGAATTGGACCTGAGCTGGGGGTTGGGATCAGGAGGGGTGGAGGTGGAGTGGAGGGAGGGTTGGTGAAGGTTAGGAGGGTGACCGACAACCCTCCTAACTCAACAACAACGACGACAACAACCGGCAAGCAACAACCAAAGCCCTATGAACCAGACGGCGCACACCAGCTCTGACGTTTAATACCTACCAGGTTTATGAAGACCATCGTGCAAGGCTTTAACCTTCCGGAGACGGGAATGGAAGCCAATCGCCCCACGGTAATGAAAGCCCAGAAGATACTAGGAAGGTAGCCGGCCAGCCTGGAGCCCATGTTGAGGGGCTCGCGGACAGCGTAGGAGTACACAAAGGCAGAGTACAGCCCCTGAGAAAGACAAGACAGGCGTCACAGGGATTACAGCTTCAGCCCGAGCATAGTGGTTAGAGCACTCGCCTCACAAGCGAGAGGTCCCGGTCAGGACGAAACCTTAGGCAAGTTTCCTTACTCCACACATCTCTGTTTATCAGCAGTAAGTACGAACCCAGTTGTTAGTTGATTGGCGGATCGCTTTCTGGGGGGTAAAAATATGCACTTAATCTGCGACTGTTTGTGGGAACGCTGCTGTGCCCAATTGGCTGCCGCATTTCACCACAAAATACACAGTCACTCCAGTTTACAGTATATTCTGTGAAGCGCTTTGGGACGTCTCAACAAGTTGATAAGGGGCTGTATTAAAATACAAGGATTATTATTATTATTTGGTGAAGGGAAAAAAAAGAAACAAAATGAGAACTGTTTAATAAACAGCTTGATGCACTAATGGGCGGACGGTCCGGTGGGAAGGTTGGTCTGTTTCGAAGCCAGCACCGAAGGCCTTGGTGACATCTCACACCCCTTGAATGTTACAGTTTTAAGGTCTTTTAATTTTAATTGGCCTTTGAAGCTTTGAAGACGAGATGGGGAGAGAATACTCACCAAGATGCCGTCGCTCATAAACAGCACGGTGGCAGATACAATGTGAATAGCGAAGAATGTGCATGGGATGTCTTGGAGATCAAGGCTCTTGAAACAGTCCAAGAAACTGCTGTGATCTGCAGAACAGGCGGAAGGGAATAGGTGTCAACTCAAGGTCTCAACCAGCAAACCCAACTAACCCACCAACACTTTTGCCCTGCCCGGGAATCTAACCCAGGTCCTCTCGCTTGCGAGGCGAGTGCTCCAACCGCTACGCTACAGAGCTCCACGTAAAGTCATGGAAAGTGACGACGGAAAAAGGTTGAAGGAAGGAAGGTCAGTGTATTGAGATGAATCAACTCTGTCTGTAGGAGTGAAAGCAGCTCTCGTTAGCATTAGCGTGTGCGTGTGTGAAACCTGGTCGGTCTCTTTGCTTGTGTAGGCCAGGCCTCCCAGTAAATCTCGTGTGGTGTGGAACACATCATTCCGCTTAACCATAAGAAACGAGTACAATCTAGTCGGGGAGGGAGCTTTCACAATGTGGCCCATTCATAATTTAATGTGAACAAAGGGGAGAAAAAATGGGGCCAGCCAGAGGGAGAACAAGGACTGAGTTTACACACCCTGAATTTCTCTACAGAACACAGCGCTTCAGAGAACACTCAGTCAGCCATCACCTCAGGTGTGAGCAGCCGTGTCTCTCATACGCACACGCTGACCTTAGTAAAACAATGATAATAATAATAATAATAATAACAATAACCCTTGCATTTGATACAGCGCCTTATCACGGCCTTCAGGACGTCTCAAAGAGCTTCACAGAATCGACTGTAAAGTGGACTGACTAGATATTTTCTGGGTAAAACATGGCAGCCATTTATTGAGCACAGTAGTTCCCCACAAACAGCCGTGGATTGAGTGACCACATTTTTTGTTATAGGGATTATTGCCCCCCAGCAAAGCGATCCACCAATCGACTAACAAGGGGGTTCCTACATACTGCTGGGTAAACATACCTAATATTAATACCAAACAATAATCATCATCATGATAATAATAATAATGGGGGCAATCCAGACCCAAGTTGAATTTCTCCCCGAACCTCTCAACTCCATTTATTGCTCTTCATTTGTGCACCTGAGAGAATTCTCCCAGCCATACCTGTCCTCACTCACCTCACCCAGACAACTTGCCAACTCTATCCAGCTGCATCCAGTCTGTTACAGTCACCCAGACAGGAGGCCACTCGGTCAGGCCAGGCTGGTACAGTAACACAACAACAGCTTGCATTTATATAGCGCCCCTCAGACAGGGCAGCGTCCCAGAGCGCTTGAGAATGGCGGAGCGCAACACCAAGCCGGGGGAGGGGAGGGGTGACCGTAGGCCACGGTCGAAGAGGAAGGTCTTCAGGCGCGATCTGAAGATGGGGAAGGACGGGGGTGAGTTGGAGGGATAGAGGGAGAGTCTTTACCGCCTTCAGGGGACAGTGCATTCTGATTCTCCTCAGCTTGTGTGTGAACCAATGGTGTTTGGTATAAAAGCAGGCCGAGTCCCATCTCTCACCACACGTCCCCTCACACGGATGTTTCTCTGATTCCCTTTCCATCATTTTGTTTAATTATCTCTCAAACTAGACCACCACCCACCCCCCCCCCCCCCCACCCCTCAGGCCTGCGTTACACAGCATAACCCAGGGCTCAGCTGGTTGGACTTGTTGCAATGGTTATCCTCACAGTATAAGGGCGGACACCACTGTTTACAAGCCTCAGCAGGTCAACAGTACATTGTCTGTCTCCGGCTTCATTCCTCCACGCACACGCCTCTGTTTACCCAGCAGTGAGTAGGAACCCAGCTGTTAGTTGATTGGCGGATCACTTTCCAGGGAAAATAATCCCTTCAAAAAATAAATCAAATAGTAACTTGGTCACTCAATCCACAGCTGTTTGTGGGACGCTGCTGTGCGCAATTGGCTGCCGCGTTTCGCCCACAAAATAATAATAATCCTTGCATTTGATCCTCTGGCAAAAATATACTTTACTATATATTGTGTGAAGCGGTTTGAGACAGCTCGACGACATGATAAGGCGCTGTATCAAAGGATTATTATAATGCTCATCACACACGCCTTGACCGTGGCTTCTTTGCCCTTTACATTCTTCCTCAGAAAGAGGCCATTCGGCCCATCGCATCTGTGCCCTATTTGCCAGATTATTCCCACTTCCCAGCTCATTCCTGGTATTCCCACGGACACAATGGGCTGAGTGGGCTGCTTCTGAGCTGCAAAGTTCTAAGCTGTCTATCACTTAACGTTCCTCCTGCTCAGGTGCTTATCCTATTTCATCGGATTGCCTCAGAGGGGAGCTTGGACAACTAGACCAGGTCCAACGGTTGTGGGTTGGGATCATGACAGGCCAACCCAACCCATTGGCCACTCTACTGCCTCTCGGTGGCCCCAGACTGAATGGAGATGTGGACACTTCATCAAAATGTCCACAACTCAAAGGACTGACCCGTGAGATGATTCCAACCAGACATGTGCTGTGTGATTATAATTAATAATAATAATCCTGGCATTTGATACAGCGCCTTATCGCATCTTCGAGACGTCTCAAAGCGCTTCACAGGATACACTGTAAAGTGAATTGACTGTGTATTTTGTGAGCAAAGCTGCTGTGACCAATTGTGCACAGGAGCGTCCCACAAACAGTCGTGGATTAAGTGACAAAATTATTATTTGTTTTAACGCTCTGGATCTCCATCTCACCAGTCCCTTCGCCTCGCCCCCTCCCTCGCCTCCTTCAAGGCACATCTTGAGACCTTCCTCTTCGACCGCAGCTTTGGTCACCCTCCTATCCCCACCCTCTCTGCCCTCCACCCCTCCCGATCCCAACCCCCAGCTCGCATCCGAATCCCTGCCGGTACAACCCAGTACCTTGGGACGTCCTCACGACGTGAAAGGCTTTGTGTAAATGTCATGTGTTGTTGTTTCTGCCGATGCAACTCTACTCACCCCCATCTTTTTCTTTCTCGCTGCTCGAACTTATCCCTTCCATCTGTAGGGCCTGGGGTGGATCTGCTCCTGTTAAGAGCGGAACATTTTTCTTCCCGCAACAGCCTCCAAACTTCACTTTGTTCATCAGGAAGAACACAGCCACAGGCACCGGCAACTGGGGGGGAGCGGGGGTGGGAGGGTGTGGTGGGGAGAGAGACGAGGAGGGTTTAAAGAACAGGTACAATCCAGGAGTTCAGATTGAGAGCTGGCCCCCAACATCGATCAACAAGATAAGTAGGGAAAACCATTCCCTATTGTTGGGGAATTATCATCCTGGCCTTTGACACTGCTCCTTCCCCATCAGGAGGAAGTCTCAAAACGCTTCATTGGGTTTAGTGTGGTGATTGTGGTGTAGTGACTGTGTAGACAGCAATCAATTTGCATCAAGCAATGTCACCACAAACAGCCATGAATGGAACGACTGATTTGTCTATCTGGGGATGGAATTGTCAACCAAGACACCGGGAGAGAGAAACTCCCTTCTTTTTCCCAACAGCACCGCGGGATATCTTTAACGTCCGCCTGAACAGGGCACAGATGGGGAGGGAGGGATTAACAGCTCGGGAATTGGTGGCCGAGAGAGAGAGATAGAGAGATAAAGAGAGAGAGAGAGAGAGAGAGGGAGATGGGAAATTAGATTTTTTTAAAACAAATATTGATTTAGAAGAAAAAAAATGTAGAAGACACGGATACAATGCCTGACACTCTGATTGTGCAGAAAAAAATAGTTTCTGGTCAAGCAAGAGTGTGAAACTCCATCCCTATTTTTCATCTGCTTTGCCTGGACTGGGTTGGGGTTGGTTGGGGTTGGTTGGGGTTGGGTTGTGTTGGGTTGTGTTGGGTATGGGTAGGGTATGGGTTGGCAGGGTATCACAGGGTTGTGTTGGGTAACAGTACTGCAGGTACAGTAAAGAATGGCTCTCCTTGTCTTTGTGGTGAGGGCTATTTGCATGTCACATCACATCATCGACTCACTGCCTCGGGCTCTGCCAGTCACTAAACCTCACTCTCAGGGACAGTCCCTTCGCCTTGCTCCTTCTCTCCTCGTCTTGAAAGCCTCTCCCTCTCTCGCTCTCTATCCAGTTACCTCTCTGCCTGTCTATTTGCAAGGCAAAGCCAATAATCAGCAGCTACCAGGAGAGAGAGAGAGACAGAGAGAGAAACTCCCTTTTACTTTCCAGTAGAGATCTTTAATGTAGGCAGTACGACGCTCACCCCCACCCCCACCTCCCGACCTCGCCCAGAGATCCCCCACCCCACCCCCGGCACTGTGCTGGAGCGTCACCCTGGAAACCACAAGTTCAAAATTACCCGAGGTGGTGGGGGGTGGGGGAAGGCGGTCGGGGTTTTGATCCCACAACCTCCTGACCCCGGGAAGTGAAAGGGTGAGGGCTGTGAACAAATCGGCTTGGTGAACAAAACTCACAGTCACTACACTTCACAGTATCTCTCGTGCTTTGAGTCGTCCTCCTGACATGAACTGGCGCTGGATCAAAGGTTAGGATTATTGGAGTTCATGTTTATTCCATCCTCCCCTCACCCCTCCCCTCACCCCTCCACTCCCCTGCCCTCAGCCCTCCCCTCACCCCTCCACTCCCCTGCCCCTCAGTCCTCCCCTCCCTCACCCCTCCACTCCCTGCCTCAGCCCTCCCCTCCCCCTTCCACTCCCCTGCCCTCAGCCCTCCCCTCACCCCTCCACTCCCCAGCCCTCCCCTCCCCTCACCCCTCCACTCCCCAGCCCTCCCCTCACCCCTCCACTCCCCTGCCCTCAGCCCTCCCCTCCCCTCACCCCTCCAGCCCTCAGCCCTCCCCTCACCCCTCCACTCCCCAGCCCTCAGCCCTCCCCTCCCCATGCCTCACCCCTCCCCAACTCCCAATAACGATAAACTTTTGGCTTCATCAGACAGAACTGGATGAAATCATAAGAAATGGTAGACGGAGAAAAGGCCGAGGTCCATCTAAGTTCCCCTCCCACCTTCCTGGCGGTCTCGCCTGCACGTATGTCCTGAACCAGCTATGACCTATACTATATCCCACCACGTTATTGCCCGGATCGTCGCTGTGCGTGCGCTCACATTGATCAGCGCCATGATCCAGAAGGCATAGGAGACGTTGGTGATGGCGTCGCCCTTGGTGACGAGGTGGAAGCTGGTGTGGTTGACGGCCGGGTAGCCCACCAGGGAGTGCCGCATGTGGCTGAGGTCCGGGGCCGTGGTGTTGAGGCTGCCGTTGGTGTGTATGCAGCTGGTTTCCGACAGGAAAGGGTCTGCGATCATAGGGCTGAGGAAGGCTCCGAAACCCATACAGAAATGGAGGACCTGCCACAGGGAGAAGGGGGCATTAGGGCCATCGTTCCTTCACACCCCCACCAACCGCCGCCACCCCCCACCACCACCCTCCGCCCCCCAACAAACCCCCCCGCCCCCCCACCACCAACCTCCGCCCCCCCAACACACCCCCCGCCCCCCCCACCACCAAGCTCCGCCCCCCAACATGCCCCCCCCGCCCCCCCCACCACCAACCTCCGCCCCCCAACAAACCCCCCCGCCCCCACCAAGACAGCCTCAACAATAACAACAGCCAGCAGCGAAATACACCCACAAACTTTCGTCCATGAAACACACAGTCCATCAAGTCACTCCACTTTACAGTGTGGGGGGGGGGAGTGAGTGGGGGGAGGGGGAGGGAGAGGGAGTGGGGGGGGGAGGGAGTGGGGGGGGGGAGGGAGTGGGGGGAGAGGGAGGGAGAGGGAGTGGGGGGGGTGTGAGTGGGGCTCAAACCCACAACAATTTGGACTAAGAGGAGGTGAGAGTCAGTGACTTTGAAACGAGTTAAAGACTTGAACCCCCCCCACTCCTATCCTGTCCTGTCCTGTTGGAGTTTGCCCACCTGTAAAAAGATGGCAGAGTCTTTTTGGTAGATGTTGACCAGCTGGATGTTGGCAATGGTGTCGATGCAGCCCATGGCCAAGCCCCCAATGGCCACCACGAGTGTCAACACGATCACATCAGTACAGAAGGGGATGATGGTGAAAACGATGGAAATCATCAGCGTGGAGACGAAGAGACCGGCCAGTGAGTAGAAGAACCTGAGAGAGAGGGAGGGAGTAAATGCAGAGTGGGATGGTCAGACCCTTCACACACTCGTAATAATAATAATAATAATAATAATAATTCTTACATTTGATGTAGCGCCTTATCACGACTTCGAGATGTTTCAAAGGGCTTCGCAGAATATACTTTAAAGTGCAATGACCGTATATTTTGTGGGCGAAACGCAGCAGCCAATTGCGCACAGCAGCGTCCCCACAGACAGTCGTGGATTGAGTGACCAATTTATTATTATTATGATTATTTTTTGAAGGGATTATTACCCTCGGAAAAGCGATCGCCAATCGACTAACAGCCGTGACTCACTGCTAGTAAACAGAGGCGTGTGCGTGGAGTAAGGAGACTTACTCTGTGTTTCGTCCGGACTAGGAATCAAACCCAGATCCTCTCGCTTGCGAGGCGAGTGCTCTAACCACTGAGCTACAGGGATTCCACTGTACTGTAGATGTACAGAGAGATCACTAACCAAGAAGGCACTGCCGGAAACTGGTTCAAATGGAACCGTTCCTGAAATTTGCCTACAGTTTCGTCCTGAGCAGGAATCGAACCTTGCGAGGCGGGCACGCTAACCCCTTTACTACCGGACTCCGCACCAGTGAAACGTGAGACTGGCATCACTGGGCACGAGGATTGTCCGAGTGACACATGTCAGGTCATCTCACGCCCACTGTCAGTCTCGCTCACTCTCACTGGGCACAAGGACTGTCCGAGTGACACATGTCAGGTCATCTCACGCCCACTGTCAGTCTCGCTCACTCTCACTGGGCACAAGGACTGTCCGAGTGACACATGTCAGGTCATCTCACGCCCACTGTCAGTCTCGCTCGCTCTCACTGTGCAAATAACAGGCTTCCATACTGCGAGGTGAGCGTCATAAGAACATAAGCGTTTGTTTGGCGAAATAAGACCGAGGTGCATCTAGTTCTCGTGCAGCCTGGGGTCCCAGCCTCACGTTAATCAGTCCACGTTACAGACTTAAGTTGGAGTTAAAACGATGTCCTGGACTTTCGGGGAGGGTTGAAGTTGAAGGAGAGCGAAAGCAAATCAAGTTGGTTTCATTTTTTTTAATTTTAAAATAACATTTTTAATCATTGCCGAAATAATGAACGACCCTAACATGGGTCCCTTTTTTTTCGACATCGTTTGGAAATAAAGAAGAGAGAGACAGAGAAGTTGCTAACCTTAAAACCCAAATTTGCAACTTTTTTATTTAAAAATTCAATGAAACAAAAACCTTAAAATTGGTGACTTTTTCTACAATTAAAAAAAGGAATAAAGTAGGTAACGTTAAAAAAAAAAGCCAACCCAACGAACCAACAACAAATAGAGTGTGACAAAAAATGTTGTTTCCTGTCCATATATATATATAAAAAATATATATTTGTAAAAAAAAAAATTCTCACGTTTTCTTAAAGGCTCCCCCGAAAATGGTGCCCAGGAGAATGCAGAGGTTTTGGGAGAAGAACACCCAGGTGATCTGGGGCAGTGTGGAGTGGGTCTGACAGCGTAGATCGAGAAGCGTGGGTCCAAGTACAGCGATGCACAGCCCGAAGGAACAGAAGGCACTCCATAGGGTGAGGGTGGGCTGCAGGTTCCACTTAAGTAGACTCCAACGGTGGTCGTCAAACATCTGACAGTCAAGAGCGAATGGAGTAGGAACCCTCTCTCTCTCTCTCTTTCTCTCTCTCTCTCGTGCGCACACACACCACACACAGCTCTCTCAGATTTCTCTAATCTTTGCGAAGCTCAGGCGAGAGAGCTCGGTTGTTTTGGTGAGACGAGGAGTGAGTTAGGCTGTTTTGTGGCGGCTATAAGACTTGTCGGGCTCCACCTCTTTGACAACATAAAGCTACCTGCCTTCCTAGTGGCTTTATATACACACACCACACATACACGCGCACACTCTCTCTCACTCTCATTCTCGCCAACCGGGTGTTTAACTCTTCCCTCTCCCCCCCCCTCCCCACCACCCTCCCGGCTCAGTTAACCTTTGCGCCTTCCCTTACGCAAGAACACCTCCGCTGTGCTCCATTTGCCTGTCCGGTTAACGTAGTTAGTTAGTGTGGTTAGCTAGTTACTCGGTCGGTTAAGATTTTCACTGAGGAGTTAAAGGTTTAGTGAGTGAGGGAGGGGCTGAGCACCTGTGGTTTATAATTTACAAAGAGGCAAACCTTTTGTATATGTGTTTTATTTCAGATTCTGTGAAACGCAATGAAAATTTCCTCTCTGCCTCACCTCATCCCATTCCCCCTTCACCTCTAATAACAACACCCACCCCCCGCACCCCCCACCCCAGACATTTCTCTTCGCCTGTGTTTGTGCTCACAACAACAGGTGTCATGGTCCAGTGGAATGGGTGGGGGGGAGTGTGTGGGGAGGACGGAGATGGAGGCATTATCCTTACATTTATTCGATGCAGCACCTTTCACGCCGTGAGGATGTCTCAAAGCGTTTCATGGGATTTTACTGAATGTGTAGTGACTCTGTGAGTGAAACGCGGCAGCCAATTTGCACACATCCGTGTCCCGCAAACAGCCATGAAATGAGCGAGTGATATTATCTGGGGGGGATTGTCGGCCAAGACACTGGGTGGGGGAAAGAGAGAGAGAGAGAGAGAGAGAAATTCTCTTCTTTTTTTTGAGTTGAACCATGGAGTGGGGTCCTGTAGCTCAGTGGTTAGAGCTCTTGCCTCGCAAGTGAGATACCTGGGTTCGATTCCCGGGCAGGGAGAGACGTTGGGCAAGTTTCCTCGCTCCACACACACGCCTCTGTTTACCAGCAGTAAGCAGGAACCTAGTTGTTAGTCGATTGTTGGATCGCTTTCAGGAGTAATAATTCCTTCCGAAAGAAAGTAATAATTTGGTCACTCAATCCATGACTGTTTGTGGGACACTCTACAGTCCACAAATATAATTTTGCCCACAAAATATACAGTCACTACACTTTACAGTACATTCTGTGAAGTGCTTTGAGACGTCTCAAAGATATGATAAGGCACTGTATCGAATGCAAGGATTATTATTATTATTTGTAGTATTATTATTATTATTACAGGATTGGTTCGGACCTGGCTCACTTTATTGACCTTCAGAAGAATGAAACCCAGAACTTTCTGGTGTGAAAAACAAGCTGTGTTCCCGGGGATTCAAAGTGAACTGGAGCCAGAGAGCAGCGGCTGGTCTGTGTGTCTGTGAGCTGGTCCCAGTCGCTCTGTGTTTCCACAACATAACGCAACACAGCACAGGGTGATACACAAACACTGCTGATAGGAACAGCTCTGACGTTTAAGGTGCCGGGTCAGTGTGTGCATGTGCGTGTGTGTGTGTGTGGGTGGGTGAGGTGGGGTGGGGGGGGGTGGGGGGTAAGCTCTCGGGGACGCTACCTTGCATGAGAGGCATTATATGAATGCAAATTGTCGTTGTGTGCGTGCATATGTGTGTGTGCGTGTGTGTGTGTGTCCATGTGTGTGTGAGCGTGTCTCTGTGCGCAACTTAGGCGTCCAATTTGACCCCCGGCTGTCCTTCCTCCCCCACATCTGCTCCCTGACCAGGAACCGCCTTCTTCCCCCTCCGCCACATTGCCCGCCTCCGACCGTACCTGACCCCAAATGCAGCCCAAACCCCAGTGCGTGCGTTTGTCACCTCCCCCCCGGATTACTCCAACCCCCTCCTCGCCGGTCTCCCCAGCTCCACCATTCACAAGATCAGCTCATTCAGACTCTACCGCCCACATACTGACCTGAACCAAACTCCGTCCCCACATCTCACCGGCTCTGGACCCGGCTCCAGTGGAGGGGAGGGGAGTGGATGGAGGGGGGTTTCAGACCATCTGGGGGTCCACACAGCTCGATACCACAACAAGGGCCCAGTGAGAACACAGTAGGAGGTGATTGAAATGCAGGCAGTTAGTTATGTTGAAAGAAACAGGTTCTGGGAAGAGTTTAGGCAAAGTGGCAGATATCAGATTGGCCCCTGGGTGTGGACGGTTACCAGAGCAAATGGACAACCACCACAACAGCATTACACTTATAGAGCGCCTTTCACGTCAGGAGGACGTCTCAAGGCGCTGGAAATGAAAATCACAGGGCAAAGGATCTGTGAGCCCAACACCTGTCACTTTGTCCCTTGCTTTCTCAGGCCTAAAGCTGGAGTTAGCTGATGTGTAGATGTGGCACTAACTCTGATCACCTGAATTCTTCTGACACAAATCCAGTTGCCTTTGGCATTCCTCAAACCTGGCTCCTGCCAAAAACTTTCATCTCCTCTCCTCTCAACGATGCTTCCAACTCTGTCAGGCCACTGACCGACTGATGACTTTGGAGTCAAACCCTTCATGGTTTCTGCTAATAATAGTTACCTGCGTTTGTTACCGAGCCTTGGTTTATCCACGTCACCCGAGAACATCTCAAAGCGCTTCATAGGATTGACTTGAATTTGGGCCAATAATGATAACAGCAATAATAAATAATAATAATAGTCTTTGCATTTGATACGGCGCCTCATCACGTCATCGAGACGTCTCAAAGCGCTTCACAGTATGCACTGTAAAGTATAGTGACTGTGTATTTCATGGGCAAAGCGCGGCAGTCAATTGCACACAGCAGTGTCCCCACAAACAGTGGTGGATTGAAGTGACCAAATTTTTTTTTTTTGAAGGGATTATTAACCCCGGAAAAATGATCCGCCAATCGACTAACGAGTGGGTTCCTACTGACTGCTGGTAAACAGAGGAGAGAGTGTGTGGGATAAGGAAAGATTTTGCCCTGCCCGGCCGGGAATCGAACTCGGGTCCTCTCGCTTGCGAGGCGAGCACTTTAACCACTGAGCTACGGGGACTCCACACCATTAACAGCGAACCTGGGGAACGTCGCCAGACGCTCCGGGAGGGATGATTCAACTCGGCTCCTCAGAGACCACCGTTGAGTCACACGGCAGCACTGACGGTAATAAGTCACAAGCTGGTTTATTCATTCATTTGACGGTGATCTGGAGAGCGGCTGAGCTGAGCTCAGAGATACCCTCACGGGGACGGTTTGATGGCAAGCTACGGGGGTTAATGTTTGACTGGACAGGCAAGCGCTCGGCTCGGTATTAAGCCTGAGTCGGGTAATTGTTTAAAGAAGTGATTGCAATCTTCACCCCCCGGAAGCCAGCAGCTCGTCAGAAAGCAAAGTATTCACCGGGTCACAAGATCCCTTTGACTCCTATGATCTTCCACGACAACCCCACCTTCAACCCCACCACCCTCTCGCGCCCCTCTCAGCTCTCATCACAGTGTCAGCCTGGCTCAGTCGGTACTAGCCCTCTCTCTCCCTCTCTCTCTTTCATCTCGGAGTCAGAAGGTTGTGGGTTCAAGCCCACACATCAGGACTTTGTCAGAGACGCAGTCCTTTGGACGCGATGTTAAATCTCACTCCCCGTCTGTCTGTTCAGGTGGACGTTAAAGATCCCGCGGCGCTATTCGATAGGAGAAGGGAGTTTCTCTCTCTCCCGGTGTCCTGGCCAACAATCCCCCAAATAAAATTGGTCGCCTGTGACACGGCTTTGTGGGACGTTGCTGTGCGCGATTGTGCTGCCACGTTTTGCCCACCAAGAACTACACAGTCACTACACTTTACCCCTTACCAAACGCCGCTCAATTCCGGCCGCCAGGATTAACCGCAATAACTCTCCCCGTGTTTGATACAGTGCACCCTCCCCTCGCGCGCGCACGAGCGTGTGTGTGCGTAACACTCCCTGTGTGTGTAATACACTCCCCATTTCTGTGTATGTGTGTGTGTGTATATGATGATTGTGTGTATGGGGGTGTGTGTTTGCGTGTGTGTGTGTTTGTGTATGTTTGTGTTTGTGTGTGTATGTGTATGTGTGTGTATGTTTGTGTGTGTTTGTGTGTGTGTGTGTGTGCGTATGGTGTATGAGTATGGTTGAGGCATGTACCTTTCCAGTGTATGACAGAGTGCTAACCTCTCTCACAATGATCAGTGAAGATCAAGTGATCAGAGTCTGTAACACTGGAATGTCTTTCACAACAAACCATTACTCAGAGGAACTGATCACAGCAGTTTGCTGACCTGGCATTTTGTGGGAATCCAACTGGAAAATGGTTTACACATAAATGTCGCTTTCCAGGACTAACAGACTGTGTCGCACCTCAAAGCTCTTCGCAAATAAGTACTGTAAAGTGTAGTGATTGTGTATTTTATTGGTGAACCCGACAACCAATCTACACACGGCAACATCCCGCAAACAGCCATGGAATTAATATAATTTTACCTTGTTGGACAGGACACTGGGAAACAGAGAGAGAGAGAGAGGGGGGGAGAGAAACTGCCTTCTCTTTTTCAATATCTTCAATGGATCTTTAACATCCCCCTGAATGGGGAAGGAGACTGGACCTCAGTTTAACGTCCCATCTGTAGGGTGACCCCCATCGATATTGAGCACGTACGCATTTGCTAGACACACACAAGGCCAAGCTCAATCCAGTTTGTCTTCCAACACCTCGGCAGTCGCTTGACATGTCGTGTCCCAAGCTATAGATTGTATGATATTGTATCGCGAGATATTATTTCATTACAGAAATCCATCTCATTTGCTCTTGAAAGAATCAACATTTTCTGCTACCACCGTCTCCCTACACACTCTTCCCCCCTCCCCCCCCCACCCCACCCAACACACACACCTCCCCCCCAGCCACCCACCCACACACCTCAATCACTGCATTGAAGTGCCAACCAGCACCCAGGTATTACCCTGATTGTCCAGCGCTCTGGGTTGTCTTTCCAATGTGAAGGGCGATGTACAAGTGCAATGTTGTTGTTGTATTACAGCGATAAACAACAGAGGCTCGGTTGACATGAACAGATCTTCAAGTCCTCTTTAAAGCAACTTTAATAGGACATTCAATAGATTTTATAGGACGTGAAACAATTGTACATTCTTTCTAGACTTTTACAGTACAGTGTCCGCTGTCAAACATTTACCAATATTGCACTTAACATAAACTAAAGGGGAAACTAGACTCCCACAGCTTCTGTTTAACACACACAGCACGTTCCTCAGTCCAGTTAATAAGTGAGGGATGTACTTTTCCAAAGTTATTTGTTTTCTGGTTTAATGGGAATTGGATGTTTGGGGACGTGTGGTAACGTTAACAGAAACCTGACTGGAGTCTGGAGCTTTCCTTGAAAGTGACACTTGTAGTAATAATAATAATAATAATAATAATAATCCTTGCATTTTTATATAGTGCCTTATCATGTCTTCAAGACGTCTCCATGCGCTTCACAGGATATACTGTAAAGTGAAATGACTGTATATTTTGTGGGCGTAATGCACAGCGACGTCCCACAAATAGTCGTGGATTGAGCGACCAAATTATTATTATTACTGGAGCAGTTAATGTCACATCGAACGTGCGGATGTGGAGCAAATCTTGTATGTCAACAATAGCAGTGAGAGTCACGGTGGTGGGGGTTGGGGGAAGGGGGTGTGGGGTGGGGGAGGAGGGCTGGGTCTCCGAGACACACGGACACCCGTACATGCGGGCGGGCATTCAGCATCTCTGCCCCCACCCTCCCACAATCCCTCCTCCGCCTCACCCACTCTCTCGCCTCCTTCATTTCCCATCTGAAGACCTTCCTTTTCGATCGAGCCTTTGGCCGCTCTCCCACACAGGCAGACACACCACCCACACACACACACACACACGCACTCAGACACGCACTCAGACACGCACTCAGACACGCACGCAGACGCGCACACAGACACACATGCAGACACACGTACACTTCACGCCCACACACACACACACACGCGCAGACACACCACGCACGCACACAGACACACGCAAACACGCCTGTATTTTCTAGGCTCTATGTTACTGAGGCACATTTACAGCCGAACACTCCCCAAACAATAAACACTGCAGCCTGTTTGATGGGGATTTTGTTCAGAGAAGGTTCCTTAGTTACTTCCCTCGTCGCCTCCCACTTTCTCATTTTTCCCGCAACACGGAATTCCGCTTAGTCTCAGCCTTTCTCTCGTCCCACTTTTCCTTCAAATATCTAAGGACCGAGTGAAATTCTTCAACCCGGCCACCGTTTGGGAGCCCGGACATTGGGAACAAGACTGGCAAACACTCCGTGCTCATGCCTTGCCCTTCAGTCAGGGGTGGTGGGGGGGGGGGGTGGGGGGGGGAGGAGGGGGGGGGGAGGGTGTGGACTTCAAACCCCACACTGTAACCTTGTTCCTGAGACAAGGTGAGGAATGTGGTCAGGAACGCCGCAATTTTAGACCTGGATTTAAACGGAGTATTTTATTGTGGAGTCTCACTGTTACTGATTGACAAGAAGACCTTTGTTTGAGTGAGTGTACGTGTGTGTGTGGGGTGGTGGGGTCGGGGGGCTGTCAGCCAGAGATAGGGGTGGAGAGGGAGGTAAGGATTCTGATTGTCATTGCTAGTTTACTCCTGGCATACTGGGGGGGTGAACCCCACACAGCAGTTGTACATTAACTGTGTGAGACTCATCATCATAATAATTAATAATTCTCATGTTTTACACAGCGCTACACAACAGTGTAACCTCTCACAGCCTTCGCAGGGTTTTGCTGTCGAGTGGGTCAGGCATGTGTTTTGTCGGCAAAACAAGGCAACACAGCACAGGCCTCGCAAATAGTCTTGAGGTGAACAACCAATTTGTTTTTTTTATCGGGAGAGGATGGTCGCCCCGGACACCAGGGAGAAACTTCTCATTCCCTTCTCCCTTACCTTTTCCAATAGTGTTGGGAGATCTTTACTGTCTATCCAGACAGACAGACGGACACAGACTGTTTAACATCTCATCTGAAGGTTGGGAGGCTTTGGGCGGTTGGATCTGGCAGGTCTGTTGTCCTCCATCTGATTGTGTTGTGTTGGGTTGTATTGTACTGTATTGTATTGGGTGATAACCCTTAACTGTCCAGTGCCTTGGGATGTTCCTTCTGAAGTAAAGGTACTATACAAAAGTAATTTATTGTTGTTGTTGTGTTGGATTGCATTGTGGTGTGTGTTGTTTTGGGCTGTGCTGTGTTGAATTGGATTGCGTTGTCTTGATGGTGTGTTGGTTGGACTGTGTTGGTTGTGTTGTGTTGATGTGTTGCGTTGGGCTGTGTTGATGTTGTGTTGCGTTGGGCTGTGTTGGTTGTGTTGTGTTGTGTTGATGTTGTGTTGTGTTGGGCTGTGTTGATGTTGTGTTGTGTTGGGCTGTGTTGGGCTGTGTTGTGTTGGGCTGTGTTGATGTTGTGTTGTGTTGGGCTGTGTTGTGTTTTGTGTTGTGTTGGGCTGTGTTGTGTTGTGTTGGGCTGTGTTGGGCTGTGTTGTGTTTTGTGTTGTGTTGGGCTGTGTTGTGTTAGGCTGTGTTGTGTTGGGCTGTGTTGTGTTGGGCTGTGTTGATGTTGTGTTGGTTGTGTTGTGTTGATGTTGTGTTGTGTTGACGAGTGAGTCTCCCTTTGATGAGCTCTCAGATTGGCTGATCGCTTGTGATGGAGGAGGATGAGGAGGCAACACGTGAGGTCAAACGTGATCTAGAACAAGACGCTCTGTCTTCTGCTCTTCCCTCGCGCTGTCAAAGAGGAATTCGACCCATTTGAGAATTTCGGAATTTCGTCCTTCAGAATTTCACCCGTTTTGACCCGTTCCCCTCACATTACAAACATCCAAATATCCCAAACAAATGTGACATTATGTATAATCTCTCTCTATATCCAGATTTCATAATAATAATAATCCTTGCATTGATACAGCTCCTCATACGTCGTCGAGACGTCTCAAAGCGCTTCACGGGATACACTGTAAAGTGTAGTGACTGTGTATTTTGCGGGCGAAACGCGGCAGCTACTTGCGCACAGCAGCGTCCCCCACAAACAGTCCGTGGATTGAGAGGCCGAATTATTATTATTTTTTATTTTTATTATTTAAACCTCTCTCTGAATACATCACGCACTGTAAACACGGAGCCGCGTGTGCAATGGGGCGTCTGGTTTGGAGATAGATTGGATGTATTTAACGAATGATTCTGTTTCTCAGGTGTTTGCTAAGAGACGAGTGATTGACACGTACCTGACTGTTGATAGGATGAGTTTCGGAAGCCGGGGTCTTTCTGTAGCTGAATCTCTTTCAAAGTGAAGACGCTAACAGCTGTGACGGGGAAACAACGACAACGACGACAAGGACGACAACTTCACACCGGATGACGTCTCACAGCATGAATTAAATACATATTATTGTTGGGACAGTCCTATGGAGTATAGGGATCAGGCATCCTATTGCGGAAAATCCCTCAATTCTGTTTTATAATAATAATATTAGTAATAATAATACTTGCGTTTGATACGTCGTCGAGACGCCTCAGAGCACTTCACTGTAAAGTGTAGTGACCGTGTGTTTTGTGGGAGAAATGGGGTTCTCGATGGGAAATGTACTCACTGTCGGGTAAGACGTGAATTCCTTCGCCCAAGCTCATAAAATAGGGGTGCAGGAGGGCTGCCTCAGCCGATATCCTCTGCTTCGCCTCGTACTGTGAATAAGAGAGGAGATCCCCCCTCCCCACCCCCACACAGGGGGGGAGAGGGTTAAACACACATTAGTTACATAATAATAATAATAATTTGGTCACTCAATCCACGACAGTTTGTGGAGACGCTGCTGTGCGCAATTGGCTGCCGCGTTTCGCCCACAACAGGTTTCCGCCCCATCCAGGAATCGAACCCGGGTCCTCTCGCTCGCAAGGTGAGCGGGATCGCCACTACCCCACAGGGACACCGTGAGACCGACAGCAGATTGACGAGGGAATTGGACGAAGAATTGGATGAAGAATTGACCTCGGCTTAAGACGTTCCCCACTGACCGTTCCTGCTCACCAGCAAAAGGTTAGTGAAGAGATCGAGTCCGTCTGCGTCCAACCTGGAGAAAGACACAGGATTCAAGCCACTTCTCTCAGGTTTCTTTTCCATGTCTCTGCTCCGCACCAAACCCCCCCCTCTCCCCCACCCCTGTGACACAGTTAGAGCTGTACCTGGGAGCGTGGTTTATGATGGCCTGAGGTCTGTAGTAAGGGAAGCTGTTGGCCTTAAACTCCTCGTTGAATGTGATCCCAGACCACGTGTCCTCTGTCGGAGTTCCTGAAACCAAGAGCCATAGAAACACAGTCACATTCAGATCAGAACCAGAGCCTTCGGCCACCCTCCACACCCCTCCCCCACCCCCCCTACCCTCCAACCCTCTTGATTCCAACCCCCAGCTCAGGTGCGAACCCTTGGGATGTCCTCCCACCCTGAAGGATCTGTGTAAATGTAATGTTGTTGTCGTTGAACCTAGTCTTGGTTGTGAGATGGACAAGATGGCTCTCTCTTTCCCTCTCTCTTTCTCTCCCCCCCCTCTCTATCTTCTACCCCCCACTCTCTCTCTCTCCCTTCTCTCTTTCCCTCCCTCACTCTCTCTCCTCTATCTTTCCCTCCGCATCACACATAATCCGAACTTCACTCACCTAACAGCCGGAAGATTAAGTGCAATTCCTCTTTGACGGTGGAGCCAGGGAAGAGCGGTCTCCCAGCTGCCATCTCATACAGGATACACCCAACACCCCTGGGAGCAAAGGAGAGAGTCAGGTCACTACACAGCCAGACTCCACACCCCACTCAGTCTAGAACAGCTCAGTAACTCGCTGTGTAACCCGCCCTGTAACTCGCCGTGTAACTCACTCATTACATAATAATAATGCGCTTCACAGGTTACATTGTAAAGTGAAGTGACTGTATACTTTGTGGACAAAACGCGGCAGCCAATGGCGCACAGCAGCGTCCCCACAAACAGCCGTGGATTGAGTGACCAAATTATCATTTTTTTTGAAGGGATTATTACCCCCAGAAAAGTGATCCGCCAATCGACTAACAACCGGGTTCCTACTGACTGCTGGTAAACAGAGGCGTGTGTGCGTGTGCGTGTGTGTGTGTGGAGTAAGGAAACTTGCCTAAGGTTTGGCCCTGACCCGCTCGGGATTCGAACCCGGGTCCTCTCGCTTGTCAGGTGAGGGCTCTAAGCGCTGAACTACAGGACATCACAGTAGATCAGACGTTTCTCTGAATCCCTGCGTGTGTGGGAGAGACCGGAGTGTAGCACATACCACATGTCAATCTGGGTGGAATATTCTGTGCTGCCCACCAGGACATCAGGAGGCCTGTACCACAGGGTTACCACCTCGTTGGAGTAGGTTTTGGTGGGCACCGACTTCGCCCGAGCCAGACCTGGACAACAGAGGGTTAACAGCATGTGTTACACCAAAAAAAATGACAATGTGCCGTCCTTTGGACCAGACGTTAAACCGAGGTCCCGTCTGTCCCTGTTCAGGTGGATGTTAAAGCTCCTGCAACACTGTTATAATAATAATAATAATAATAATAATAATCTTTACATTTGACACAGAGCCTCATCACGTCTTCGAGACGTCTCAAAGCGCTTCACAGGACACACTGTAAAGTGAATTAACTGTGTATTTTTGGTAAAGAGAAGGGCGTTTCTTTTCCCTGTGACTGTGCTGAAGTGCTCTGGGAAACCGCACGAGACACGGGACAGTGCCGGAGGAAACGCACCACTTTAAGCCCGAGTTCGCGCAAGGCTTCCGAGCAGATACAATCACGATTTTTCTCCAAAGGGAAAAAAAGACAAAAAAGTTACCAAAATCGGCCAACTTCAGCTCTCCTCGCTCGTTAATCAGCAGGTTCTGTGGCTTCAGGTCTCGGTGCAGCACCTTTCGCTTGTGGCAGTAGGAAAGTCCTCGGAGAAGCTGGAACATGAAGATCTGCACCGGGGACGACAGTCAACATCAACATCAACAACACCATCAATAACGACTTGCACTTATACTCACCCCCTCCCTCTCCTGCACCCCCACTCCCCCTCCCCGCCCACCCCCGCCCGGGGATAGGACACCACCAACACGAGACACCCCCTCATTACCTCCCCAATCTTCGCTTGACCTCCGTGAGTGCCCCCTTTCCAAGCTGGGAAAGAGGAAGTCTTATAGAAATGGCGGAACAGGCTCGAGGGGCTGAAATGGCCTCCTTGTGTTTCTATGGGATCACTGGATAGTGCCTGAGCTCGACAACCTCTCCCTCCCCTCCAACCCTCCCACCCACCTCAAAAAACAGTGTCTATACCACTCGGTGGTGCTATTTCGCACAGCAACAGCGGGGAGGATGATTTTGGCCGAAACACTTGGATTTGGACTCGTTCAAGACACCACCTTGATGGCGTGATGGGGGGAATGGATGGTGTGAGTTATGGAACAAGGAGATCAGACGGGCTGAAGGGCTTTCCTCATCTTGTGGGAGCTGGTAACTTATGTCCAATAACCCGGATGTCGGGCAGATCTTCTGGTTGTTTGGAAGGGCAGAATGTTTCCCCCTGTTATAAGCAGAAACCCTCGCACCTTCACGTTGCACATGCTCATAATGTTCCCACAGCTGTCCATATACTGCTTCAGATCCCTGTCCTCACAACCTTACAGAGGAGCGAACATCCATACACACCCTCAAACGCACACACATACACATTACACACATACACAGAGACAGACGGACACATTACGCACACACACGCGCGCACACACACACACACACAGCCTCGCACTTAAAACACACCCAACCTTACAGAGACGCATACGTGTATAGACATCCTACATGCATATCAGACACACGCATGCACTACACACACACACACACACACACAAGACACGGACATTATACACAGACACGCACATACACAGGCTTACACTTCACGCTGCTCTCTGATGCTCTTCTGATCTACCGGCTCCTGTTCTCAGTAGCTGTGAGGCTGCGTGTGGGGAAGACACAGTCACATACACACATACTCCACGGTCTAATGGAAGCACATCTCACATCAGCCGGAGCGAGCGCTGGTTTGGAGTCCAGGCTCCTCCTCCCCCCCCTCTCTCTCTCTCTCTCTCTCTCTCTCGCGCTCTCTTTCTCTCTCTCTCCTCTTTCTCTCCTCTCTCTCTGCTTCTCTCTATCCCCGTCTCTCGCCTCTTATTCGCACATTTGTCACTCTCCCCTCTCTCTCTCTCTCTCTCTCTCCCTCACACACGCACACACTCCCGTTCCCCTGCTCTCTCGCTCTCTCTCTCTCTCTCTCCCCCATCGTGTCCGTGCTGGTGCTCGCTCCCCCATTGGAGCTCTCTACTCTAACCCCATTGCCCCCTAACCCTTTGTTATTGTAGATTCCCTACTTCCTGAGCAGCCGGTGTCAGCCTGGCTCGGAGACTCACACCCGCCTGTGGGGTCAGGAGGTTGTGAGTCGGAGGCTCGCACGGAGGAGTTGAGCTCACGATCTCGGCTGACGCTTTCTCCCCGGTGCGGTTCCGGGGGGAACACCACGTTGTGGGAGATGCCGTCCTTCGAATCAGATGTTTAAATCCAACTCATGTCTGTGTTGGGACAGACCCGGGGAACCCTGGACCAGAAAAAAGACCAAGGTCCACCTGGATCGGCTTCTACCATCCTGGTACAGCGATGGAGATGTTACATAATAATAATAATAATAATAATAATAATAATCGTTGCATTTGATAAGGGAACAGCGCCTCATCGCGTCTTCGAGACGTCTCAAAGCGCTTCACAGAATTTGCGGCAAAGTGTAGTGACTGTACTTTGCGTGCGAAAGGCGGCAGCCAATTGCGCCCCCACAAACAGCCGAGGAGCGAGTGACCACATTATGCGCTAAGAGTTGCTTCCGTCTCTTGTTTTGGGGGCGATTTTGATAGATTGATATAGAGACGGTTTGGGGGGTGTCGTCCCTGAGGGGAAAAGTCTCTTTACAAACGTCATTCGGTATTCCGCACGTGTTTGGGTTCGGAAAATGAGGGCAATGGGAAGGTTTGATTTTATATTGTATTGGAAGGCGATGTTTGGCTCCGAACGTTTGATCTCGGAATCCGTGTCGTTCTGGAACCTTCTCCCGTCTTAACCCTTTCCCCGGATTCTTCCGATGGGAAATCTGCCTCCTGGCAACGCTCTGGCGCTCTCTAGTGGACAAAGCGGGTCACGGCGCAGGCTGGAGCCACGACGACAACAACTCACATTTTGTAGTGCACCCCCCACCTCACCCCCCACCCTTCTTTACCCCTCTTTAAATCTCACCTGAAGGCATTCCTCTTCGATCGGCCAGACCCGTGGTCACCCCCCTCGCACCTCCCCCCGCCCCCCGCCCCCCACCCACCGCTCTCCCTCCTCGTTCTCTCCTGCATGGGGTCTGACCCCCCCCCCCCTCCCCACCACACCCCTCCCTCTAAGCGCTCTGAGGCGCTACCCTGCGAGGAGGGCGCTGTGTAAGTGCAAGTTGTTGTTGCTGCCCCCTTAAGCTGCGTTGCTTCCCCGAGAGCCTCACTGCAGAGCATAGCGACCGAGAGTGGGGTGGGGGGGTGGGGGGGTGGGGGGGAGCGAGCGCAGGGATGCTATGGTAACTCTGCCACTCGTGGCTGTGGGAGATGGCGATGAGAAGCATCTATTAGTTCTGCAGCTTCCCTGCAGATACCGGGCGGTGGTGGTGTGGGGGGGGGGGGAGGGAGCGGGGGTGGGGGGGGCAGGGGGTGAAGACACGCGAAGCAAGAAGGGAGTGGGATTTCCCCCAGAACCCCCCCCCCCCACCCACCCCGAGCCTCGTTGTGTTAGAATCCAATCGCACAGGATCCAAGTGAAGCCCATTCCCCCCTATACCCACGCCCTGCGCCCCCCCCCGATCCCCGGACCCCCCCCCACCCCGCGCCCCCACACTCGCACACACACCCTGAGAAACCCACATAGAGAGCCAACAGCGGACACACACTGTGATGGGGCTCAGCTCCAGTGTCCCACTGATCCTCACTGCGCTGTTAGCAGAAAGAAGGCTCCGTGAGCCACGGGCAAACCGCTCCCAAAATAACTGCCGGTCCCCGCGGGATTCGGATTCGTTCCCGAGTTACGGAGCCTAATTGGTCTCGGCGGGATGTCCGCCAGACAGGCCGGACGCCGGATTGAAGGGAGGGCTTTCATCGGAACAGGAGGAGGCCATTCAGCCCCCTCCAGCCTGTTCCGCCATTCGTAGGAACATAGGAACAGGAGGAGGCCATTCAGCCCTTCGAGCCTGTTCCGCCATTTAATCAGATCACGGCTGATCTGTACCTCAACTAATCCTTTCAATTCCAAGCTCCTGCTTCCTCCCCATATCCCTCGATCCCCAACAATCTATCAACCTCACTCTTGAAGGTGCGGATGGATCCAACGTCCACGGCCTTTTGGGGGGAGAGAATTCCAGATTTCGAGAAGGGAGTTTCTCTCTCTCTCTCTCTCTCTCGCTCTCGCTCTCTCTCGCTCCCCCTCTCCCCCAGGGTCCTGGCCAGCACTCCTCTGGGTAAAACGAGCCCTTCGCCTCACAGCAGTTTGCGGGATGATGTTCCTGTGTGCGAATTGGCTGCCGCGCTTGACAGCAATTCCCCCGTGAAACTCCCTGCGAGCGTCAGGGGGTGTCCGGCCCGTGACACGGAGCCCTTGAGAGAAGGGGTTAAGATGGGCGATGGGGGTTAATCGAAATGGCAGCTTGATGTTGAGCGAGGGCTCCGACGCTCTCGGTCTGTGGGCACTGCAGCTCTCACCAGGGAGTCGGTGGAAGCAGAAAGTGTTGATTCCTTTCAAATGCAAATGAGATAGATTTCTTTTGAGGCAGTGATACTTTACTGTACGCCAGTAATTCGGGACTTAAAGGTATAATAACAATCCTTGCATTTGACACAGCGCCGGCCTTCTCGCGTCCCCCGCGACGTCTCAAAGCGCTTCACGGGATACACTGTGAAGCGCGGTGACTGTGTGTGTGTTTGGTGGGCGAAAACCCGGCAGCCGATTGCGCTCAGCGACGTCCCCACAAATGGTCGTGGGTTGAGTGACCAAATAGAGATTATTTTGAAAAAAAAGAAATTTTGAAGGGATTATCACCCCCGGGAAAGCCATCCGCCAATCGACTAACAAACCGGGTTCCTACTTACAGCTGGTAAACAGGCGTGTGTGCGCGCGCGTGTGCGCGCGTGTGTGTGTGTGTGTGCGCGTGTGTGGGCGTGTGTGTAGAATGAGAAAACTTGTCTCAGGTTTCGCCCCGAAATGTAACACGACATGTGAAATTGACGGAGATTCCTCTCCTGACCAGTGTACACACACACCCACACACACACTCACACACACACACGCACACACATATCATATTATATACATACAAAAAACATGTTTCTAAAATGATTAACGTGAGCTGCGAGTGTTACACACGACTCACACGGTAACTCAGCAACTCGCTGTTAAATAATTCACAGATCGTTCCTGTGTTATATTTTTCAACCCCACCCCTCTCTCCCCGGCCCCCCACGGGACCACCCCCCCCACCCACCCCGGCCCCCCCACGGGGCCCCCTCCCCCCCACCCCGGCCCCCCCACGGCACGGTTGCCCTCGGTGACGCAGCGATGCAGGAACTGCAATGCAGCAATGCAGTCCGGTCGCAGTCCTGCGCTGCAAAATATTACGAAACGATTTCCCGCCTCGTATTTATGGAGGTGGAAGGAGGAAAAAAAAAAGAACGGCGCCCGTCGCCGGGGAGAGGCGGCTGCTGTAATTTCCCTGCTTTTTATTTTTTTTTAAAAAAAAGAAAACAGGAGCGAGCCATCCCCGAGCGTTTCCATGGCAACTCGAGCAAGGGGACCAAATATGGTACTTGACTCCCAAATTGGAGAGAAAGAGAGAGAGAAAGAGAGAAAGAGAGAGAGAGAGAGGGAGGGAGAGATTGCGGTTAAATCGCTGTGGAAGCCACAGCCTCGACGCCGACGCCAACTTGCACTTTACGCAGCGCCTCTCAGGCAGGTTAGCGTCCCAGAGCGCTTGACAGTGGCGGAGCCACTCGGTGATGACAATGATGATAATAATAATTAGAATAATAATAATCCCGGCATTTGATACAGCGCCTCATCACGTCATCGGAACGTCTCAAAGCGCTTCACGGGATGCACTGTAATTTGTGGGCGGAACGGCAGTGTCCCCACACACAGTCGTGGGAGTCAGTGACCAATTTTTTTTGAAGGGATTATTATTACCCCCGGAAAGCGATCTGTCAATCGACGAACAGCCAACTCTTAGTAAACAGAGGCGCGTGTGTGGGTGTGTGGGTAAGGAAACTTGGGGGTGGGGGGGGTGATAATCCCCCCAATAAATAAATAAATAAATAATAATAATTTGGTAATGTGGGGACGCTGCTGCGCACAAATTGGCTGCCGCGTTTCGTCCACAAAATATACAGTCAATTCACTTTACAGCGTATCCTGTGAAGCGCTTTGAGAGGTCTTCAAATGCAAAAATTATTATAAATTGTATTATTGTAAAATTTGAGCTCAAACCCCTCAATTTGCTGCTGCACAGAGACACACAGAGAGAGAGAGACACGTACAGAGACACACACAGAGAGAGAGACACACACAGAGAGAGACAGAGACACACACAGAGAGAGGGAGATACAGAGAGAGACACACACACACAGAGACAGAGACACACACAGAGAGAGGAAGACACAGAGACACACAGAGACAGAGACACACACACAGAGAGGGAGAGACAGAGACACACACAGAGAGAGGGAGATACAGAGAGAGACACACACACAGAGACAGAGACACACACAGAGAGAGGGAGATACAGAGAGAGACACACACACAGAGACACACACACACACACAGAGAGGGAGACACAGAGACACACACCCAGAGAGGGAGACACAGAGACAGAGACACACACAGAGAGAGGGAGACACAGAGACAGAGACACACACAGAGAGAGGGAGACACAGAGACAGAGACACACACAGATTTTCTATTGAATCCAATTTGTAATATAATTCCCCAATCGCTGCTTCGACTTCACTTCCAGAGAGAGACAGAGAGAGAGGTATCTCTTTTTCTTTCTCTCTCTCTCACACACATAGTCTTTTTTTATGTGAGCTACTAGTTACCTCTCTGTGAGGCATTATTGACTGGAGAGAGAGAGAGAGAGACACAGATAGAGACTGAGAGAGAGACACAGAGAGAGAAGGGGAAGGAAATATTCTGTGTGTGTTTTATTTTGGGGGGTGGGGAATAGATTTGGGTTTTCCTAGACATTTGAGGGCGTCTCATTACCCTCTACCCCCCATCCCCCCCAACACCATCCCCATCCCCCCCATCCCCCCCATCCCCATCCCTCCCCTCTCAGTCCAGGTTCGATTTGGTGGATTTTTTTCTTTTGCAACACTGGAGAACATCTGCAGAGAAAACGGTGAGTTTGTCGTTTGTTAACCTGGAGATGGTGTGTGTGGTGTTGTGTTGTGTGTGTGGAGGGGAGAGAGAGAGAGAGAGAGAGAGTGGGGAGAGGGAAGGAGAGAGAGAGAGACCTTGAGACCTGGGCATCTTGAGACTATTGGGGAAGGAGGAGAGAGACAGAGAAAGAAAGGATAGAGAGGGAGAAAGAGAGGGGGAGGGAGGGGGTATGGGTGGGAGAAAGACTTTGGGACTATTGGGGAAGGAGGAGAGGGAGAGAGCGAGAGAGAGAAAATGGGGAGGGAAGGAGAGAGAGAGAGACCTTGAGACCTTGGCACCTTGAGACTATTGGGGAAGGAGGAGAGAGACAGAGAGAACGAGAGGGGAGGGAGGAGAGAGAGAGTGAGACAGAGACACAGAGAGAGACACACAGAGAGTGACAGAGACAGAGAGAGACACAGAGAGAGAGAGACAGAGAGAGAGACAGAGACACAGAGAGAGAGGCAGAGAGAGTGACAGAGACAGAGAGAGACACAGAGAGAGTGACAGAGACAGACAGACAGAGCTCTGTGTAAGAAACCTCTCTGTATAATCCAGAAAACACAGACTTTATGGTATTTTTGAGGCGAGAAGGAGCCCAGAGGGTGACTGAGACTGACGTCAGCCTGAAATGGGCATTGTCCATGTTATTAACATTGTCCATTTCGCTGGTCATCGAAATGCAGCGCATTTTTAGGGATAAAATAAGGATGCGATGCGATATCTGGTGCTCAACCCTTTCTCTCTCTCTCTCTCTCTCTCCTTTCCTCTTCTCTCCTCCCCTCCTTCCCTCTCTCTCTCTATCTATTAATTCTGCTTTTAAATAGTGGGGAAATCGAAGCAGAACATCTGTCTCTCCACAAACAAACACTCACACACACCTCTCTGGGGAAACTTGGGAGAGAAACGCGTGTGTTTCCCTCTTCAGCAGCTCATTTCTGCAACTTATAGCTTTGTGACAGTGTCTGACATTCGTTCACATTGTTTTAATAATAATATCATCATCATAACAACAATAATATATAGCAATAGTAATAATCCTCACATTTGGTCATTCGCTTCACGGGCTGTTTGAGGTCCGTCGCTGTACGCAAGTAATGATAATATTAATCCTGGCATTTGGTACAGAGCCCTTATCATGTCGTCGAGACGTCTCAAAGCGCTTCACGGGCTAAAGCTGTAAAGTGACTTGACTGCGTATTTTGGGGGCGAAACACCGGCAGCCAATTGCGCACAGCAGCGTCCCCACAAACAGCCGTGGATCGAGTGACCCAATTTGTTTTCGAAGGGATTGTCACCCCCGGACAGAAAGCGAACCCCCAATCAACTAACAACCGGGTTCCTACTAACTGCTGGTAAACACAGGAGTGTGTGTGTGTGTGCGTGTGTGTGGAGAGTAAGGAAACTTGCCCACGGTTTCGCCCTGTCCCGCCCGGGAATCGAAGAGCGAGTGTGGATGTTGTTTCCCTTTAGAAATGATCATTGACTTCTCTCTCTCTCTCTCTCTCTCTCTGAGGGCACCTCAGACGGAGTCTCCCTGGGCCGGTCTGTGTGTGGCTCTGGCCAAACCCCTGGGATTCATCGGTGAATGCCTGAGTTTTGTCCAATTTGGGATCCTTTGAAGTTTGGGTCAACTTGTTCCTTTGTGATTTCGACTGGGATTGTGTACAGGAAGGGAGGAGACCAGCACTTGTCTGTCTCTCTGTTTCCTCACCCACTCATAATTGTTGCATTTGACACAGTGCCCGATCACATCGTCGAGACGTCTCAAAGCGCTTCGCAGAATACACTGAAAAGTGAGGTGTCTGTGCATTTTGCGGGTGAAACCCGGCAGCCGATTGTGCACAGCCTTAGGGTCCCCACACACACAGTCGTGGTTTGAGTGACCGAATTGTTATTTTTGTTTGAAGGGTTGATTGCCCACGGAAAAGCGATCCACCAAATGGACGAGAACAACCGGGTTCCTACTTACTGCTGGTAAACAGAGGATTCTCCACCCCACCCCACCCCACCCCCCAGTGCTGGTAACTGTGAAAGTTTGGGGTTAGTGATAGCTGCAGGTAGGAAGTGTTGATGGTGAGTGTTGGCAATGCTGATGCAGTCGGTGTGTGTGTGTGTGTGTGTGAGCGGGAGCAGCAGGTGCAGAGGATTGTCTGCGTCTCGTAGTTTGCACAAGGTGTTCGCGTGCTCGCAATTCTGATCAGCAAAGTCCAGACAGAACCATAGCCACAGCCACAGCCATCGACATCAACTGGGCACAATCCGCCAAGTCACGCATTGTGGAGCCCTGTAGCTCAGGGGTTAGAGCCCTCGCCTCGCAAACCAGAGGACCCGGGTTTGATTCCCAGCCCGGGACAGGCCGAAACCTCAGGCAAGTTTCCTTACTCCACACACACACACGGACACACACGGACACACACACACACCCCTCTGTTTACCTAGTGAGTAGGAACCCAGTGTTTGTTGATCGTCCGATCGCTTTTCGGATGCAGTAATCCCTCCCCCAAAAAATGCGGTCACTCCATGCCACGACTGTTTGTGGGAGAGACGCTGCGGTGCGCAATTGGACGCACCTGTTTCATGGGCAACTGGCTACAGGGGTAACGAACGAGGCAGCGAGGCAGACAGGGCATTAAATTCTAATCGGAAACACCGCCTGCGTTCGTGTTTGATTGACGGCTGCGTCAGGTGGGATTCATGTGAGGAGACCAAAGCTGTAACTGGAGACCTGGACAATCTGGGGGTTCGATGGCAAAACTTGGCGCAGTCTGTCCCGCAGTGCTGTGGGGGGGTGGGGTGGGGGGGAGCCCTGAATTGTCAGATGAGTCGTCAACCCGAGGTCCCGTCTGTGCTGTTTGGTGAACGTTAAAGATCTCGCAGGAGGCTGTCGGTGAAAAAGGCGAAGAGAGTTTCTCTCTCTCCTCGTGTCCTGGCTGACACACACACACACACACACACACACACACTCACTCTCCAGGCCTGTGGCACCAGTTTTGCCGTTAAAATTTACTTTCGCTGAGAACTGGGGGTGGAAAAGGCTTAATTTGGAATCTGTTTTTTCGCTCTGTGCGTTGCTGAGTCAGTGAGGGAGAGAGGGAGGGGAAACGGAGGGAGGGAATAATTGAATGAGTGAGTGAGGAAGGGAGTGAGGACTGGAGTGAGCGAGCGAGCGAGTGATTGATTGAATGAAGGAATGAACGAACGAACGAACGAGTGCGTGATTGAACAAATGAGGGAGCGAAGGAGCGAGTCTCAACAATGAGTTAACGAGTGACGTTTCTCGGAGCACCTTCACAGCCGCCCTCCCCCCACCGCCGCCCCCACCCCGACGAGGCAGCAGAATAATACAGAGTGTGTTGAGATGCAAATTTTGGCTGAACCAAAAGTTGTGGCCAACACATTCCATTAATAATTCACTCTGACTTCCGTGGAGCTGAGGTGCAGTAACTTAGTTGCGTACGTGCGGCAAAACCCGGCAGACTAATAATAATCATAATAATAACAACAATAATAATCCCGGCATTGGATACAGCGCCTCATCACATCTTCGAGACGTCTCAAAGCCCTTCACGGGATACACTGTGAAAGTGAGTTGACTGTACGCTTTCTGGGCGAAACATCATAGAGCAATGGTGGTAACAATAGAGTAATAGTGGTAACAGTAGAGTAATAGTAATGACGATAGTGTAATAGTAATAACAATAGAGTAAGAATGGTAACAAAATGGTAAAAATGGTGGGAAGTAATAGAGTAATAGAACTAAAACCGTTTGGTTGCTGACAAGCAGGTGATTTATGTCTCTGGCTAAAGAGGGCGGTTTCGGCCGACGATGGGTTGGGGAGTAAATATTCCAGCGCTTTGTTGCCTGTGACCCTGCGAGCGAGTCTGGAATGTTAGTTAATCTTTTACCTGGAGGAAACCGCTCGACCCTGAGTGAGTTGACGCAGGGGTTAGCCCGGATGGGGTTTGGCTGGTTACCTGGAGGAGGGAGTCGGAGTGAAGGCACGGTGTGTGTGGGAGCTCGGCCCCCTGGCCTGCCCGAGGACCGGACTCGCTGATGTGCTCTATGGCTTTTTATTCCTATGTGATGGTGTGTGTGTGTCTCGCCTAGGGGTGAAAGCCATGGGATAACTCAGTGAATCAACCGTCTCCATCCATCTCCAGCTCGCTGCGCTCTGTGTCGTGCAATAACCGTCCTGGCGGTTGACGTACAGCGCCGTATCGCGTCGACGTGACATCCCGACTGCTCTGGAACGCTACCCTGCGTGAGTCCCTGTAGCTCAGGGGTCAGAGCCCTCGCCTCGCGAGCGAGAGGACACCCGGGTTCGATTCCCTGGCGGGTCAGGGCGAAATGTTGGGCAAGTTTCCTTACTCCACACACACACACACACACAGACACACTCGCACGTCCACAAACACAGAGACACACACACCCGCGCGCACCCACAGTAAGTTGTTAGTTGATTGGTGGATCGCTTTCCGTCTGGGGCTAATAATCCCTTTTTTAAAAAATAATTTGGTCACTGAAGCTACGACTGTCTGTGGGACGCTGCTGCGCGCAATTGGCTGCCGCTTTTCGCCCACAAAATACGCAGCCACTACACTTTTTTACGGTATATTCCGTGAAGCGCTTTGAGTCGTCTGGAAGCCGTGATGAGGCGCGATATCAAATGTTAGGATTATTATTATTATGCACACACACAGAGACACACACACAGAGACACAAGCACAATGCTCTGTGTGGGTTGGCCGGTGAACGAGATTGATATTTTAACAGAAGCCGCTCCTGAAATAGACGTGAGATGTGAAATGTCCGTGCGAGGCTCTGAGCGGGAAAGCATGAGGTTTTAATGATGACAAGAACGGCTTCTAATTACAGCCGGAGCGGGAGGAGAATTCGCGGCTTGTTTTCGCTAATTTGCTATTCACTAACTGCTGTTGCTCCTGCTCAATTGGCGACTAGAAAAAGCAGCAATTTTTACAGACAGCAGATGGCAGCTACATGTGCAATCAGAGGCTTATAGAGGGAACGACTGAGCGAGAGAGAGAGAGAGAGAGAGATCAGAGGCCTGAGCTGGACCAACAGAGTCCAAAACAAACCAAATTCTTGATTAGTAATTATAATAATATATAATAATAACATAAATATGCCTTGCGTTTGATACAGCGCCTTATCCTGTCTCCGAGACGTCTCAAAGCGCTTCACAGGATACACTGTAAAGTGTAGTGACTGTATGTTTTGTGGGCGAAACGCGGCAGCCAATTGCGCACAGCAGCGTCCCCACAAACAGTAGTGGGTCGAGTGACCACATTATTATTATTTATTTGGAGTCCTGTAGCTCAGTGGTTAGAGCACTCGCTTTGCAAGTGAGAGACCTGAGTTCAATCCCAGGCAGAGGGCGAAACCTCGGGCAAGTTTCCTTACTCCACACAGAGCCTAATAATAATCCCTCCAAAAAAAAAAACAATAATAAATTGGTCATTTTCATCTACGACTGTTTGTGGGACATTGCTGTGCGCAATTGGCGGCCGCGTTCGCCCACAAATATACAGTCAATTCACTTTACAGTGTGTTCTGTGAAGCGCTTTGGGATGTCCTCCTGACATGAAAAGCGCTATATCAAATGCAAGGATTATTATTATTATTATTACTATTTATTGAAGGGATTGTTAACCTAGAAAAGCGATCCGCCAATCGACTAACAACCGGGTTCCTACTACTGTTGGGTAAACAGAGGCGAGTGTGTGTGTGTGTGTGTGTGGAGCAAAGAAACTTGCCCAAGATTTCGCCCTGACCCGCCCGGGAATCGGACCCAGGTCCTCTCGCTCGCGAGGCGAACGCTCTTAACCGCTGAGCTCCAGGGACTCCACTCCTTGTTTGTTCCTCGTCGGACTGTAGCCACATCTTTCATTAGACTTGGAGCAGGTTCAATCGCTCTCCTTTCCTGGCTGACAGTTGGGTCTGTTTGGTGTGTGTAACCAGCCCGGCCTTTTGTTACTGAGATCCCCGCTCCCTGCCAGTGGGTCACACCGAGAGCTACAGACATGGTCAGCTTTTCTTAGCCTTTTCTTTTCTTTTCTCCTTCGCTCGCTCGCTCGCTCTCTGGCTCGCTGCCTGCACTGCTCGCTGTGAGATTTAACCCAGTGTGGTTGACTCCTGATCAGTGTCTCATAGTAAAATGTGTCATTCTCTCTCTCTCTCTCTCTCTCTCTCACATTCTTGCTCACTCTCTCACTCTCTATCGCACGGCAATCATATTATATTTGTGTAGCGCCTTTCAGGTCGGGAGGACGTCCCAAAGTGCTGGACACTCAGTGTTTCGGACCCGAGCTAGGGATCGGGATCGTGGGGCGTGTGGGGGACTCTCTCACACGCTCTCGCGCTCTCACTCCCTCTCCTTCTCACAACCTCTCCCCTCACCCTCTCTCACACCTCTCTCTCCTTCCCTCCCTCTCTTTCTCTCCCATTCCGTCTCCCTCTCTCACGCTCTCTCTCTCTCTC